CCATCAATACTACTACGGTCCTCCGTTACCACAGCAACTACTGTCCTCCGTTACCCAGCATACTACTGTCCTCCATTAGCCCGCATACTACTGTCCTCCATTACCACCCAGCAATAATACTTGTCCTCCATTACCCAGCATACTAACTGTCCTCCTTACCCAACATACTACTGTCCTCCCATTACCCAGCTACTAACTACTGTCCTCCATTACCCAGCACACTACTGTCCTCCATTACCCCACATACTACTGTCCCTCCATTACCCCCAGCTACTAACTAACTGTCCTCCGTTACCCCAGCATACTACTGTCCTCCGTTACCCCAGCATACTACTGTCCTCCATTAACCCGCATCTACTGTCCTCCATTACCCAGCTACTATGTCCTCTCCATTCCCCCAGCATACTACTCTCCTCCATTACCCACATACTACTGTCCTCCGGTACCCCCCCCACATACGACTGTCCTCCCATTTACAGAGCATACTACAGTCCTCCATTACCCAGCATACTACTACAGCAACCAGTCCTCCATTACCCAGCATACTACTAGAGCAACCAGTCCTCCATTACCCAGCATACTACTGCCTCCATTACCCCACAATACTCCTGTCATCCATTACCCAACATGCTACTTTTCCTCTATTCCCCCAGCATACTACTGTCCCCATTACCTACCCACATACTACTTGTCCCTCCATTACCTCCATTACCCAGCAATACTACTGTCCCTCCATTACCCAGAAGACAGCCAGTTTCGTGGCATACAACAACACCACCCTAACCGGATGAGATAAACTCGTTTCCGCCTCCTCCCGCTTGGATCGACTCTGAGCTGCTGAGGAAACGAGGGCTACGTACTTTTACGTCTCCACGGAGGACGTATGGAAGTCATTCAATGTTTTAACCCTGCAAGGCTGCATCTCAGACAGCATCCCTTGCCGTGTGCCCTCAGAGCATGTGCAGACAGCTGGCTGTTGATGTTTGGTCTGATATTTGCAATCTCTCTCTAGCTCAGGCCACTATTCCCCACCTGCTTCATGATGTCCACTATCATACCCCCCCCCCCCCCCCGTTCCCAAGAAGGGAAAGTAACTGAACTGATGACTACCCGAACCCGTAGCACTCACCTCCTCATCATGAAGTGCTTCGAGAGCTAGTCAGGATCATATCACCTCCTCCCTCCCCGACACATTCGCCCTCTCCAATTTAACCTCCGCCCTGACAGATTTCCACTGGACAACACGTCACTCATGCCTGCATATTTCCCCTCCCCATTCTAGACAAAAGAATGCATAAGTGGGGAAAAAAAGAATTAGTCAGCCAAACCAATTGTCAAGTTCTCCCACTTAAAAAGATGAGATCTGCCTGTAATTTCCTTCCCTCATAGGTACACGTAACTATGACAGACAAATTGAGGGGGAAAAAATCCATAAATCACATTGTAGGATTTTTATGAATTTATTTTTTGCAAATTATTGTGGAAATAAGGTATTTGGGGTCACCTACAAACAATCAAGATTTCTGTCTCGTCACAGACTTAACTTCTTCTTTAAAGGCTTCCTCTGTCCTCCACTCGTTACCTTTATTAATGGGCCCCTGTTTGAACTTTTATCAGTATAAAGACAACCTGTCCACAACCTCAAACAGTCACACTCCAAACTCCCCTATGGCCAGACCAAAGAGCTGTCAAGGACACCAGAAACAAATTGTTAGACCTGCACCAGGCTGGGAAGACTGAATCTGCAATAGGTAGCCAGCTTGGTTTGAAGAAATCCAACTGTGGGAGCATTTTAGAAAATGGAAGACATACAAGACCACTGATAATCTCCCTCATCTGGGGCTCCACGCAAGATCTAACCCCGTGGGGTCAAAATGATCACAAGAACGGTGGAGGGCAAAAATCCAAACCACACGGGGGACCTAGTGAAAAATGACCTGCAGAGAGCTGGTGACCAAGTAACAAAGCCTATACCATCAGTAACACACTACGCGCCAGGGACTCAAATCCCGCAGTGCCAGACGTTCCCCCTTCCGTCTGAAGTTTGCTAGAGTGCATTGGATGATCCAGAAGAGGATTGGGAGATGGTCATTGGTCAGATGAAAAACCTCAAAATAGAACTTTTTGGTAAAAACTCAACATGTCGTGTTTGGAGGACAAAGAATGCTGAGTTGCAAAATCCAAAGAACACCATACCTTACTGTGAAACATGGGGGTGGAACATCAAGCATTGGGGCTGTTTTTCTACAAAGGGCCAGGATGACTGACCGTGTAAAGTAAAGAATGATGGGGCCATGTAATCGTGGATTTTGAAGTGAAAACCTCCTTCCATCAGCAAGGGCATTGAGATGAACCGTGGCGGGGTCTTTTCACATGACATGATCCCAAACAACAAACCGCCCCACGGGCAACTGAGGAGTGGCTTCGTAAGAAGCATTTCAGGTCTGGAGTGGCCTTTGCCGTCCTCCAGATCTCAAACCCCATAAAATCTTTTGGAGGGAGTTGAAACGTCTGTGTTGCCCAGCTATAGCCCCAAAACATCACCCTCTAGAGGAATTCTGCATGGAGGAAATGGGCCAAAATACCAGCAACAGTGTTGTGAAAAACCTTGTGAAAGCTTCAGAAAACGTTTGAACCCCTGTGTCTTTTGCCAACAAAGGGTATATACAAAGTCTTGAAGAAAAACCTTTGTTATTGACAAATACTTAATTTTTCCTTTCCACCATAATTTGCAAATAAAGTTCATTAAAAATCCTACAATGTGGATTTTCTGGGATTTTTTCTCTTTTTGTCTTCATCGTTTGATGTGTACCTATATAAAATTGCAGGCCTCTCTCATCTGTTTTAGAGCTGGAGGAACTGCAAATTGTGGCTGCTGCGGAATACTTTTTTTTCCACCACTGTATGTGAGAATGCTGTTCCAATCAACCAAATCTACTAAACTCAGCCTTCCGTCCCCTATTTCCCCTCTCACTCTCACCGACAAAGCTCACGGCCCTGGGGCTGAACGTCCCTCCCTATGCACTCTGGGGTCCTGGACTCTCCTGAACAGGCCTTCCTCGTCCCCTCCTTATTTTTCCTTTCTTCCACCCTTCCGGGCCGGAACGTCCTGCTCCCCTTCTGTTGCCCCCGCCTGCCGTTTTCCCTACACCACCGCCCTCTTTCCTATCCTCGCTTTCCTACCCTTCTTTCTTCTCTTGTACTTCCCCGCACAGCTCAGTATAGCTTTTACCATCCCCACGCTTGTCCCCCTACGCTCCCTCTCCCTTTCCCAGATGTTCCTAAAATCCCCGCGACCTCCGCTTCTTCCTTCTCACGTTCTGGCGGCAAGATTACCTACGCTCAAAATACCCCACCACACGACTTCGCTCTACACATTTGCCTCTCTAAAGGCGCGTACTTACTTCTTTGTCTCCCACGCCTCCTCATTACCTTCTAGTTTTTCCCTTTGCCCCCCCCATGCAATCCCCGTCCGCCTAATGAGCCTTTGCACACTTCCTTACATTTTTTCTCCAGGTAAACATACCTCTCCCTCACGTCAGTCTGACCGGCGTTGGTGTCCAAGTAACAACCTCTTCCCTCAACGTCAGTCTGGACGGCGTGGTGCCCAGGTAACAACCTCCTCCCTCAACGTCATCTTACGTCTTTTTTCCCGTTCCCCCCCCCCTCTCCCAATCCCCTTCCTTCCTTCCTTCTTGTTTCCCCATTTCCCCCCCCTTCTCCCTCAAACGTCAGTTCTGACGGCGTGTTGCCAGGTAAAACAACCTCTACTCCCTCAACAACAACGTCAGTCTGACGCGTGGTGCCAGGTAAAACAACCTCTCCCCAACGTCAGTCTGACTGCGTGTGCCAGTAAACCACCTCTCCCTCAACGTCATTCTGAACGGCGTGGTGCCAGGTTAAACCACCTCTCCCTCAACGTCAGTCTGACGGCGTGGTGCCAGGTAAACACCTCTCCCTCAACGTCAGTTTGACGGTGGTGCCAGGGGAAAGCAACCTCTCTCTCCCTCAACGTCAGTCTGACGGCGTGGTGTGCCAGGTAAACCACCTCTCTCTTTCCCTCAACGTCGTCTGACGGTGTGGTGGCCAGGTCAACAACCAACCTCTCCCCTCAAACGTCAGTCTGACGGCGTGGGGTGCCAGGTAAACAACCTCTCCCTCAACGTCAGTCTGACGGCGTGGTTGGCAAGGTAACAACCTCTCCCTCAACGTCATTCCTGACGTCGGTGGTGCCAGTGAAACAACCTCTCCCTCAACGTCATCTGAGGCGTGGTGCCAGGTAAACAAACTCTCCCTCAACGTCCAGGTCTCTGACTGCGTGGTTGCCAGTAACAACCTCTATCGCCTCACGTCAGTCTGACGGGTGGTGCCAGTACACAACCATCTCCCTCAAACGTCAGTCTGACGGCCGTGGTGCCAGGTAAACAAAACCCTCTCCCTCAAACGTCAGTCTTACGGCGTGGGTGCAAGTTACACAACCTCTCCCTCAACGTCAGTCTACTGCGTGGTGCCAGGTTAAACAACCTCTCCCTCACGTCAGCGACGGCGTGGTGCCAGGTAAACAAACCTCTCCCCTCAACGTCAGTCTGACGGCGTGGGTGCCAGGTAACAACCTCTCCCTCCCCCTCAACGTCGTCTGACGCGTGGTGCCAGGTAAACAACCTCTCCTCAACTTCAGTCTGACGGCGTTGGTGCCAGGTAAAACACCTCTCCCTCAACGTCAGCAAACAAATGAGCTGACTTGTGGGCTCAGTAGGAAACCAGGCCGGACACGCCTCCTGCAGGCCCCCCTCCTCATCAACAGTGCTGGTCGTTGAGACCTATTTTGCTTACATGTTCCAAAGCCAAAAACCACACGGACACCGTGTGAAGAAGGCACAGAACGACACGGACGACTCTTCAAAACCTCATGATGTTGAATTAAAATGTGTCTTCGTCCCCAAGCGCTCCCCCTCGCTGTCCCGGGCTCATTCCACCCATCCTGATATCTCTTCCCTCCCCTATCCCTCTTCCCTGCCCGTCTCTCCCTCTTTCTGTTTCCTCTCCTCAGAACGCACCACTGGGTGCACACTCCCTGGGCCTCCAGGACAACCAAGACGCCACTCCAAGGGTGCCACAACTCTCCCCTGGGCCTCGCTCCCTTCCCCCCTCCCAACATCCCCCCTTGGTTTCTCCGCTACCTTTCCAAGAAGAATGCCATCTACTCTCCACTACGGACATTTTCTGGGAACGGATTCTTAACCCTGCCCCCACCCAATGGACAATTAACATGCTTGAAGCTAACCACTTATCATCTTATGTTTTTTACAAAGTTTTATCTTTCTCTCTTTGCCGCGTTTTTTTTCCTTTTTTCATCTTTCCATCTATTTTACAGTTGTTTTCATTTCAGTGTTAATATTTCTATATTTTAACTTGTTATACAAGTGTTAATAATATGTATATGTTACCTTTGTTACAGGTGTTAATATTTATCTCTTTATTTTTTATTCTTTATTATTACTTGTATTGTTTTTATTTCTCTCTCCTGTGTTGGATGCGGGACATGAAGGTTTTTACTCATAGCCTGTAATTACATCTGCAACTCTGTGCATGTTGACTCTCACCTAGAATCCAATCCAATCTAGGGCACAACAGGTTTGGATTCAGGACATGGTCAGCGCATCGGCCAGACATCAGCAACGGCTTATTGCACTGGCCATAAATTAAAACAGCCACAACAATACATTACACTTACTTAGACATACAATTACATTTACATTTTAGGTCATTTTAGCCAGACGCTCTTATCCGAGCGACATACATTAGTGCATACATTATTTTTAAATATTTTTCATCTGGCCCCCCCATGGGAAATCGAAAACCCACAACCCTGGCGTTGCAAACCCACCTACTCCTTAGCTACAATCCTACTCTTGACTGTACGGTGGGTGTGAAATGAAATAGCTCACTTTGAATAACAGACCTACAGTACAGGCATTCAGACATAAAAACATCATAACATAGTACACGGCGGGTACGAATCAAACCATCTCACTGCACTCAGAGCTAACAAGACCCTGGCCTACCAAGCAGGCATGACACACAGGGCTAAATCAGAAACAGTGTTCGGTCGGGCTTACCTTTTTGTGCGTTTTCACATGCCCTACAGGAAAATGGGGGGGTAGCGCCCAGGGCTTGTTGTTTAAAAGATGGAGGTTATTTCACATCTGTAAGCCCCAACTTCACAGAGTTCCTTTTAAAGGACAAACAGGGTCTAAGTTGTTGAGAGACGTGTCCCACATGCAATATCTATGATGTTTGATACGGCCTCTTGTAGGAGAGTCCTCTCAACACTACCAAACAAACGACATTCATAGGAAGGGTGATGATGGCCCTTTAGGTAGTCTATTGAATGTTAGGGACATGTCGCTACAGCTGTCCAAAACTTCCAATAACACGGGAATGGATTCCTGACCGGGGGCCCCCTCGAAAGGTGCCGCCTTTCCAATCCCTCTATCACCTCTTGCTTCCCACTGTTTCCTCTTGTAAATGTGTAAAGTTGTAGAGAAAAACCCAAACAACAAAGTAACATTTTAGTAAGAAACTCTTTTGCAGCAAATAGGGCTAAGTGCCTTGCCGCAAGGGCAACATCGACAGGTTTTTCATCTAGGCAACTTCGGGTATTCACCCTAGCAAAAACCCTTTTTCTTTTTTTTTCCCTTTTTCCATCTTTCCTCCTTGCTTTTCTCTTCTCCTCCTGGCCCTGCCATGGCTTCGGTGAGGCCCGTGGTTCAATCTGGCAGCAGGGCCCTCTGCGCATCCTGGCCCCTGCCATGGCTTCGGTGGGCCGTGTTCAAATCTGGCAAGCAGTGGCCTCTGCGCAGCTGGCCCTGCATGGCTTCGGTGGGCCAGTGTTCAATCTGGCAGCAGGGGCCTCTGCCCGCCTGGCCCTGCATGGCTTCGGTGGGCCAAGTGTTCAATCATGGCAGCAGGGCCCTCTGCGCAGACCTGGCCCTGCCATGGCTTTGGTGGGCCAGTGTTCAATCTATCTGGCAGCAGGGGCCTCTGCGCAGCCTGGCCCGCCATGGTGGCTTCGGTTTCTCTGCCTACAACACCTCATCCACGAGCATACTCGTCCTCCTGTTACCCAGCATACTACGTCTCCTCCATTACCCGCATACTATCTGTCCTCCATTTGCCAGCATACTACTGTCCTCCATTACCCAGCATACTTCTCGCCAAGTTCAATCATTAATTAACAAACTTGACGAATTCAGATTCTGCAATACTTCTGAGACTTGGCTCTCCTCCGATATCCAAATTAGTGGATAGGAAGAGAGCTGTCTCTGGTGGTTGGCTCTACTTTAAGACCAACAACATATGGTGCGATGGGGGAACGTACATGAACTTACGAGCTTCTGCTCTCCCGACTTGGAATAATTGGTAATCAAATGTCTCCTTTTTACCTTCCGAGAGAGTTCGCAGGGATTATCGCCACGGCTGTGTGCATCCCACCACAGGTCAATACCGAACACTTTCATTGGACCTTGAACAAACTGGAGACCGCATATCCGGAGGCAGCATTCATTATTTTCGGGAGACTTTAACAAAAGTAATTTGAGGTTCCTGCTCTCAAAATGATTAATAACACATTGACTGTCCATCTCGCGGTAAGGTGACGCTGGACCACTGCTACACACCTTTTAGACACGGGTATAAGGCCCTCCTTTTGGCAAATCTGACCACGACACTATTTTGCTTCTCCCCACCAACAAACAAAGACTCAAGAGGGAAGTTCCGGTAGTCAGGTCTGTACAGCGTTGGTCCGACCAATCAGAATCCCATGCTCCAAGACTATTTTGATCACGTGGACTGGAATATGTACATCAATGAATACGCTGACTCAGACACCGAATTCATAAACTAATGCATTGATGATACCGATGGTGTCTTTCAAAACTTTCAAAACCAACCATGGATTGATAGCAGCCTTGTAGGGAAACTGAAAGAGAGAGATGATGCTTATAAACAGGGCAAGGAGACTGGGGACAATAGTTTGGTTAAACAGTAGAAATACGAACTACGAAGATCGATCAAGATGGTGAAACACAAGTATAGGGACAAAGTGGAGGATCAGTTCAGCGGGTCGGACACGAGGCGTATGTGACAGGGGCTTTTAACCATCACAGATTATAAAAAGAAAGCCAGTTACGTGGCAGACACCAACACCACCCTACCGGATGAGATAAACTCAGTTTCCTCCCGCTTGGAGCGACTCTGAGCTGCTGAGGACAACGAGGGCTACTTACTTACGGTCTCCACGGAGGACGTATGGAAGTCATTCAAATGTGTTAACCCTAGCAAGGCTGCCAGCTCAGACAGCATCCCTTGCCGTGCCCTCAGAGCATGTGCAGACAAGCTGGCTGTTATGTTTTCTGATATTTTCAATCTCTCTCTAGCTCAGGCCACTATTCCCACCTGCTTCATGATGTCCACTATCATCCCCCCCAGAACCACACGGGGGGACCTAGTGAATGACCTGCAGAGAGCTGGGACCAAAGTAACAAAGCCTACCATCAGTAACACACTACGCCGCCAGGGACTCAAATCCTGCAGTGCCAGACGTGTCCCCCTGCCCGTCTGAAGTTTGCTAGAGTGCATTTGGATGATCCAGAAGAGGATTGGGAGAATGTCATATGGTCAGATGAAACCAAAATAGAACTTTTTGGTAAAAACTCAACACGTCGTGTTTGGAGGACAAAGAATGCTGAGTTGCATCCAAAGAACACCATACCTACTGTGAAGCATGGGGGTGGAAACATCAAGCATTGGGGCTGTTTTTCTACAAAGGGACCAGGATGACTGATCCGTGTAAAGGAAAGAATGAATGGGGCCATGTATCGTGAGATTTTGAGTGAAAACCTCCTTCCATCAGCAAGGGCATTGAAGATGAAACGTGGCTGGGTCTTTCAGCATGACAATGATCCCAAACACACCGCCCGGGCAACGAAGGAGTGGCTTCGTAAGAAGCATTTCAAGGTCCTGGAGGGGCCTTGCCAGTCTCCAGATCTCAACCCCATAGAAAATCTTTGGAGGGAGTTGAAAGTCTGTGTTGCCCAGCGATAGCCCCAAAACATCACTCCTCTAGAGGAATTCTGCATGGAGGAATGGGCCAAAATACCAGCAACAGTGTGTGAAAACCTTGTGAAGACTTACAGAAAACATTTGACCTGTGTCATTGCCAACAAAGGGTATATAACAAAGTATTGAGAAACCTTTGTTATTGACCAAATACTTATTTTCCACCATAATTTGCAAATAAATTCATTAAAAATCCTACAATGTGATTTTCTGGATTTTTTTTCTCATTTTGTCTGTCATAGTTGATGTGTACCTATGATGAAAATTGCAGGCCTCTCTCATCTTTTTAAGTGGGAGAACTTGCACAATTGGTGGCTGACTAAATACTTTTTTTCCCCACTGTATGTGAGAATGCTGTTCATCTACTAAAACTCAGCCTTCAGTACCATAGTGCCCTCTAAGCTCACCACAAAGCTCACGGCCCTGGGTCTGAACGTCTCCCTATGCAACTGGGTCCTGGACTTCCTGACAGGCAGCCCCCAGGTGGTGAAGGTAGGAAACATTACCTCCTCGACACTGATTCTCATCACAGGGGCACCACAAGGGTACGTCCTCAGTCCCCTTCTGTATTCTCTGTATACCAACGACTGCGTGGCCTCACACAGTTCCAACTCCATCATCAAGTTCACTGACGACACGACAGTAGTAGGTATGATCACCAACAATGACGAGACGGCCTACAGGGAGGAGGTAGACACTCTGACGGCGTGGTGCCAGGTAAACCACCTCTCCCTCAACGTCAGTCTGACGGCGTGGTGCCAGGTAAACAACCTCTCCCTCAATGTCAGTCTGACGGCGTGGTGCAAGGTAAACAACCTCTCCCTCAACGTCAGTCTGACGGCGTGGTGCCAGGTAAACAACCTCTCCCTCAACGTCAGTCTGACGGCGTGGTGCCAGGTAAACAACCTCTCCCTCAACGTCAGTCTGACGGCGTGGTGCAAGGTAAACAACCTCTCCCTCAACGTCAGTCTGACGGCGTGGTGCCAGGTAAACCACCTCTCCCTCAACGTCAGTCTGACGGCGTGGTGCCAGGTAAACCACCTCTCCCTCAACGTCAGTCTGACGGCGTGGTGCCAGGTAAACAACCTCTCCCTCAACGTCAGTCTGACGGCGTGGTGCAAGGTAAACAACCTCTCCCTCAACGTCAGTCTGACGGCGTGGTGCCAGGTAAACAACCTCTCCCTCAACGTCAGTCTGACGGCGTGGTGCCAGGTAAACAACCTCTCCCCTCAACGTCAGTCTGACGGCGTGGTGCCAGGTAAACAACCTCTCCCCTCAACGTCAGTCTGACGGCGTGGTGCCAGGTAAACAACCTCTCCCTCAACGTCAGTCTGACGGCGTGGTGCCATGTAAAACAACCTCTCCCTCAACGTCAGCAAAACAAATGAGCTGATTGTGGACTTCAGGAGGAACCAGGCCGGACACGCCCCCCATCCTCATCAACAGGGCTGTCGTGGAGACAGAGGTGCTGAAATGGTCAAACCACACGGACACCGTGGTGAAGAAGGCACGACAGCGACTCTTCAACCTCAGGATGTTGAATAAATGTGTCTTGTCCCCAAGGGCCCTCGCTGTCGGGCTGCATCACAGCCTGGTTCGGCAACTCCACTGCCGCTGACCGCAAGGCGCTACAGAGGGTGGTACGCGCAGCAGAACGCACCACTGGGTGCACACTCCCTGGCCTCCAGGACACCACTGGGTGCACACTCCCTGGCCTCCAGGACACCTACACCACCGGGTGTCGCAGGAAAGGCCAAGAAGATGCCAGCTACTCCCACTACGGACATTTTCTGGGAACGGATATCTTACCCTGCCCCCACCCCAATGGACATTAACATGCTGGATAGCTACCACTTATCAGCTATGTTGTTACAGTGTTAATATGTATATATTTACCGTTGTTTCAGTGTTAATATGTATATATTTACAGTTGTTTCAGTGTTAATATGTATATATTTAACATTGTTACAGTGTTAATATGTATATATTTACCGTTGTTACAGTGTTAATATGTATATATTTTATTTGTATTCTTTATTATTACTTGTATTGTTTTTATTTCTCTCTCTGTTGGAATTCGGACATGAAGGTTTTTACTGTAGCCTGTAATTACATCTGCAACTCTGTGCATGTGACTCTTCAACCTAGAATCCAATCCAATCTAGGCACAACAGGTTGGATTCAGGACCATGGTCAGCGCATCGGCCAGACATCAGCAAACGGCTTATTGCACATGCCATATGAAAACAGCCACACACAATACATTACAATGACTTTAGACATATATTTACATTTACATTTTAGTCATTTAGCAGACGCTCTTATCCAGAGCGACATACAGTTAGTGCATACATTATTTTATATTTTTTCATACTGGCCCCCCCATGGGAATCGAACCCACAACCCTGGCGTTGCAAACACCTACTAACTGAGCTACATCCCTACATCTTGAACTGTACGGTGGGTGTGAAATGAATAGCTCACTTTGAATAAGCAGACGCTACAGTACAGGCATTTCAGACATAAAAACATCATACATAGTACCACGGCGGGTACGAATACACCAGCTCACTGCACTCAGCTAACATAGACCAGGCCTACCAAGGCAGGCATGACAACATCAGGCTAAATCAGAAACAGTGTTCGGGCTTACCTTTCTTGTGCGTTTCACATGCTACAGGAAAATGGGGGGGTAGACGCCCAGGCTTGTTGTTGAAGATGGAGGTTATTTCATCGTAGCCCCAAACGGTCACAGAGGTTCCTTTTAAAGGACAACAGGGCTAAGTTGTTGAGAGACGTGCAGTCAGCATGCAATATCTGATGGATGTTTTGATACGGCCTCTAGTGGAGGAGAGTCTCTCAACACTACACGAAGTCATAGGAAGGGTGATGATGGCCCTTGGTAGTCTATTGATGTTAGGGAACATGTCAGGGCTACAGCTGTCCAAAACTTCCATAAGGGAAGGGAATTCCTGACCTCCCCCCTCGAAGGTGCTTCCAATCCCTCTATAACAGATTAGCCTTCCACGGTGGCCTCTGGGAAATGTGTAAAAGTTGTAGAGAAAACCCAAACAACAAATGTAACATTTTAGTCGAAACTCTTTTGCAGCAAATAGGGTAAGTGCCTTGCTCAAGGGCACATCGACAGGTTTTTCATCTAGGCAACTCGGGGATTCAAACTAGCAAACCTTTTTGATTGGGTGGGCCAGTGTTCAATCTGGCAGCAGGGGCCTCTGCGCAGCCTGGCCCTGCCATGGCTTCGGTGGGCCAGTGTTCAATCTGGCAGCAGGGGCCTCTGCGCAGCCTGGCCCTGCCATGGCTTCGGTGGGCCAGTGTTCAATCTGGCAGCAGGGGCCTCTGCGCAGCCTGGCCCTGCCATGGCTTCGGTGGGCCAGTGTTCAATCTGGCAGCAGGGGCCTCTGCGCAGCCTGGCCCTGCCATGGCTTCGGTGGGCCAGTGTTCAATCTGGCAGCAGGGCCTCTGCGCAGCCTGGCCCTGCCATGGCTTTGGTGGGCCAGTGTTCAATCTGGCAGCAGGGGCCTCTGCGCAGCCTGGCCCTGCCATGGCTTCGGTTTCTGCCTACACCTCATTCCACACAATCTACACTCAATCTCGTTGACTTTTATTGAAGCCATGGTTTTGCCATGTCCGCAGTTTTCATGCATATTGGGCTACTTTGAAAACAAATGTCGAGGGTGAAAATGTATTGGATCGTGAGTTGCGGGTTTTATGGTGCTACTTCTAAATTGCATCGTGTCCGCCAAATTAATTTCACTGTGACCTGCTGCTGAGTGACTGAGTGACTGAGTGACTGAGTGACTGAGTGACTGAGTGACTGAGAGAGCTGCAGCAGGCGGCAGGGGGCTGCGTTTGCTAGAGCCAACACAGAAAGGGAGAGAAACTGAGAAATAATCATTCAACAGTTTCAGAGAGAGAGAGGAGAGAGAGGATCGAATGATGTGCTTTCTCTCTGGGGTATGCTATATTGCCAGGGTGTCCTGTAGTCCCGGGGATATGTCCCGGTGATATGTCCCGGTGATATGTCCCGGGGATATGTCCCGGTTGACAGTTCTGGGATGATAAATCATACCACTAGGCCTCGACTAGCCGGTGCCCCCCGCACATTGACTCTGCACCGGTACCCCCCTGTATATATAGCCTCCCTACTGTCACTTTATTTTACTGTATATATAGCCTCCCTACTGTCACTTTATTTTACTTCTGCTCTTTTTTTTCTCAACACTTTATTTGTTGTTGTTTTATTTTTACTTTTTTTGTTTAAAATAAATGCACTGTTGGTTAAGGGCTTGTAAGTAAGCATTTCACTGTAATGTCTGCAGCTGTTGTATTCGGCGCATGTGACCAATAAAATTTGATTTGATTTGATTTGACTGTACATAAACGTAAATGTATAAAGCAATGAGGCTGATGCAACGGATCATAACATTTAGCTTAAAATGTTGATGAACTATTATTTCATCACAATATAAACTCAGCAATGTGCACATGGTAGTAAGCCATGCAATTAGCTGTAACACACTCTAAAAAGACTACCACACATGCAAGAGGTTTCATGTGACAGAGATTAAAATATCCGTTAGTGATTTAGAAAGAGGGGAAATGTACAGATGCAACATTCAACATTGGTTGCTAATACGACTAGGATTGTGAATGCTGACTGCCTCCGCTAAGATTGTGAAGGTGGTTGGTGTGTGGCGTAACAGGAACTGGGCCTTTTTCTGTGCTCTTGTGACCATTGGATCTGAATGAACTGTGCCTCGAGTATGTCCACAGAATCAAGACTTCAGACCTTAATTTGAATTATCTTACATTATAACTGTCAAACATGACTGGCGTTTAGCTTATATTTCGGTAAATAAAAAAAGTCCATTTAAAGTTTGGCTACATTTTCTGGCCCCTCTCTCATGTCAACATCGGTGTGGACATGACAGACTGTAGCAAATATGCATATAACTTAGGCTGTTCTTTTAGATGTAGAGAGAGAGAGGAGAGAGAGAGAGAGAGCGAGAGAGAGAGAGAGAGAGAGAGAGAGAGAGAGAGAGAGAGAGAGAGAGAGAGAGGAGAGAGAGAGACAGAGAGAGAAGAGAGAGAGAGAGAGAGACGAGAGACAGAGAGACAGAGAGACAGAGAGAGCAGAAGAGAGATAGAGAAGAGAGAGAAAGAGAGAGAGACCAGAAGAGAGGGACAGAGACCGAAGAGAGACGAGAGAGAGGAGATAAGAGAGAGAGAGAGATAAGAGAGAGAGAGAGAGAGAGTCAGAGAGAGAGAGAGAGAGAGATGCGATCTCAGAGAGAGAGACATAGAGATAGAGAGAGAGCGTAGCGAGCTAGAGAGACGATAGAGAGACGAGATAGAGACAGAGGGATGAGAGAGAGCAGATAGTGAGAGAGAGAGAGAGATAGAGACAGAATAGAGACAGAGACATGAGAGACAGAGAGGATATAGGGAGCGAGAGAAGATCTAAGAGAGAGACTTTAGAGTCTCTTGCTTCCCAAAAGTGAGAGAGAGGGAGGTGAGGAACTGATTAACTCCATTACTGACTATCTAAACTGTACTGGACTCATGATGGATCTCCTCTCCTTCCTGTCCATCTTGCTCCAGAGGGATGGACGACTGGGACAGACATTAATTGACATTTGTTATGAAATAAAATAAATCAAAAAAGCAAACTGTTGGGGCTTTTAGAGTTGTATACTCCTGTTGAAAATATGATTATTTGTAGAGCAATATGACTTACATTAACACCCTTTCACAATAATGTTTTCTGAAAAAACATGCATTTTTACCATTCACTATCAATCACTTATATTGTTCAGATTAAGTAATTTGGTGTAATGAATCGATAATAAAGACATGTAGAGGACAAGGTAAAGGAATTTTACCATTTGAATTTAAATTGTCACTATGGAGACACATATTAGATAAATGTGGCAACTCCTGTCTTGCTGTGGCAAACACATTTTGGGCTAGTTTTCAGGCCTTGTGGGTAGGTTTTGAGTGGTCATTGGAACAATTTTTGTGTTACACCTGGTAACCCTGACCAAAGCAACCAATGAGGGATAAGTATCTGGCTTTGTCCCAACACGGTAATTTCCTGTTCAGCATAAAATATTTGGCAGCATTATCACCAGGGGAGTTGGTAGAAGGTTTAGAATCATTCAGATTGCTACTACCAATATTCCATGTTACACTGAACAAAAATATAAACACAATATGCAATCATTTCAAAATGTTTAACTGAGTTACAGTTCATAGAAGGAAATCAGTCAATTGAAATAAATTAATTGGGCCCTAATCTATGGATTTCACATGACTGGGAATACAGATATGCATCTGTTGGTCACAGATAACTTAAAAATAAAAATAAATTAGGGGTGTGGATCAGAAAACCATTCTTTCATTCCATTTGGAGTAACTGTCAACCATTATCAACATATATTTTTTCTTTTACTGGCAGGCATGTGAAGAAAATAAATTAGCATATTTACAAAAGGGCCCCAGGGGACTGGTGATTCCCCCTTTGGACTCATGACTCACATAGTGATTCATGCATTCAAAACAAACAACAACACTGTCTGTTAAATCAAATCAAAATAACAAATACAATTACAACTACTAACAACCCTTGATGTCATTAGTACTGTCATTAGTACTGTTATTAGTACTGTTAATAGTAAATGAATAGTGTGCCATTATTTGTGTTAAGAATTAAGTATGAAGTAAAGGGTTTATAAAACTAAAACTCTCCCTTAAACTCTCTCTCACCCTGTGGACCAAGCAAAGTCAGTGACCGTGCAATCTCTCTCGAGCCAGCAACTCTCTCTCCCCTCGAGAGAGAGAGATAGAGAGTAGAGAGCGAGCGAGCGCGCGAGAGAGGCGTGATATGCTAGAGAGAGCAGCGAGGAGAGAGAGCAGAGGATTAGAGATCGGAGAAGCTCGAACGAAGGATGAGTCTCGAGATATCTCTACTCTCTCTCTCTCTCTCTCTCTCTCACCCCACCCACCCACCCACCCACCCACCCAACCCACCCCCCCACCACCCACCCACCCACCCTGTTGACCCCAAGGTGAGCCAAGCCAATTCAGTGACTGTGCGGCCTCTACAGTGGCTTGCGAAACTATTAATCCCCGTTGGCATTTTTCCTATTTTGTTGCCTAATAACATGGGGTTTGTAACATTTGATTTACACAACATGCCTACCACTTTGAAGATGCAAAATATTTTCTATTGTGAAACAAACAAGAAATAAGACAAAAATAAAACAGAAAACCTGAGCATGCATAACTATTCACCCCTCTAAAGTCAATATTTTGTAGAGCCACCTTTTGCAGCAATTACAGCTGCAAGTCTCTTGGGGTATGTCTCTATAAGCTTGGCACATCTAGCCACTGGGATTTTTGCCCATTCTTCAAGGCAAAACTGCTCCAGCTCCTTCAAATTGGATGGATTCCGCTGGTGTACAGCAATCTTTAAGTCATACTACAGATTCTCAATTGGATTGGGCTTTGACTAGGCCATTCCAAGACATTTAAGTTTCCCCTTAAACCACTCAAGTGTTGCTTTAGCTGTATGCTTAAGGTCATTGTCCTGCTGGAAGGTGAACCTCCGGTCCAGTCCCAAATCATTCAGAACAGGTGTCTGTATACTGAGATCATGTGACAGATCATGTGACACTTAAATTGCACACAGGTGGATTTTATTTAACTAATTATGTGACTTCTGAAGGTAATTGGTTGCACCTTATCTTATTTAGGGGCACGCTCCACTTTTCCGTTATTTATTTTCTATTAAAAAAAAATCACCAATTTGGACTATTTTGTGTATGTCCATTACATGAAATCCATATAAAAATCCATTTAAATTACAGGTTGTAATGCAACAAAATAGGAAAAACGCCAAGGAGGATGAATACTCTCTCTCTCTCTCTTACCCTGTGGACCAAGCAAAGTCAGTGACCGTGCGGCCTCTTTCTCTCACTCTCTTGCTCTCTTACCCTGTGGATCCAAGGTGAACCAAGCAAAGTCAGTGACCGTGTGGCCTCTCTCTCTCTCTCTCTCTCTCTCTCTCTCTCTCTCTCTCTCATTGGCATGGGAAACGTATGTTAACATTGCCAAAGCAAGTGAAATAGATAATAAACAAAAGTGAAATAAACAATAAATATTAACAGGAAACATTACACTCAGAAGTTCCAAAAGAATAAAGACATTTCAAATGTCATATTATGTATATATACAGTGTTCTAACAATGTGCAAATAGTTAAAGTACAAAAAGGAAAATAAATAAACATAAATATGGGTTGTATTTACAATGGTGTTTGTTCTTCACTGGTTGCCCTTTTCTTGTGGCAACAGGTCACAAATCTTGCTGCTGTGATGGCACACTGTGGTTTTTCACCCAGTAGATATGGGAGTTTATCCAAATTGGGTTTGTTTACGAATTCTTTGTGGGTCTGTGTAATCTGAGGGAAATATGTGTCTCTAATATGGTCATACATTTGGCAGGAGGTTAGGAAGTGCAGCTCAGTTTCCACCTCATTTTGTGGGCAGTGTGCCCATTGCCTGTCTTCTCTTGAGAGCCAGGTCTGCCTACGGCGGCCTTTCTCAATAGCAAGGCTATGCTCACTGTGTCTGTACATTGTCAAAGATGTTCTTAATTGTGGGTAAGTCACAGTGGTCAGGTATTCTGCCACTGTGTACACTCTGTTTAGGGCCAAATAGCATTCTAGTTTGCTCTGTTGTTTTGAAAATTATTTCCAATGTGTCAAGTAATTATCTTTTTGTTTTCTCATGATTTGGTTGGGTCTAATTGTGTTGCTGTCCTGTTTGTGTTTGTGAACAGAGCCCCAGGACCAGCTTGCTTAGGGGACTCTTCTCCAGGTTAATCTCTCTGTAGGTGATGGCTTTGTTATGGAAGGTTTGGGAATCGCTTCCTTTTAGGTGGTTGCAGAATTTAATGGCTCTTTTCTGGATTTTGATAATTAGCGGGTATCGGGCTAATTCTGCTCTGCATGCATTATTTGGTGTTTTATGTTGTACACAGAGGATATTTTGGCAGAATTCTGCATGCAGAGTCTCAATTTGTTGTTTGTTGCATTGTGGGAATTCTTGGTTGGTGAGCGGACCCCAGACCGCACAACCATAAAGGGCAATGGGTTGTATATCTGATTCAAGTATTTTTAGCCAGATCCTAATTGGTATGTCGAATTTTATGTTCCTTTTGATGGCATAGAAGGCCCTTCTTGCCTTGTCTCTCAGATCGTTCACAGATTTGTGGAAGTTACCTGTGGCGCTGATGTTTAGGCCAAGGTATGAATAGTTTTTTGTGTGCTCTAGGGTGTCTAGATGGAATTTGTATTTGTGGTCCTGGCAACTGGAACTTTTTTGGAAAACCATTATTTTTGTCTTACTGAGATTTACTGTCAGGGCCCAGGTCTGACAGAATCTGTGCAGAAGATCTAGGTGGTGCTGTAGGCCCTCCTTGGTTGGGGACAGAAGCACCAGATCATCAGCAAACAGAAGACTTCAGATTCTAGTAGGGTGAGGCCAGGTGCTTCAGACTGTTTTAGTGCCCTCGCCAATTCGTTGATATATATGTTGAAGAGGGTGGGGCTTAAACTGCATCCCTGTCTCACCCCACGGCCCTGTGGAATGAAATGTGTGCGTTTTTTGCCCATTTTAACCGCACACTTGTTGTTTGTGTACATGGATTTTATAATGTCGTATGTTTTTCCCCCAACAACACTTTCCATCAATTTGTATAGCAGACCCTCATGCCAAATTGAGTAAAAAGCTTTTTGAAATCAACAAAGCATGAGAAGTCTTTGCCTTTGTTTTGTTTTGTTTGTTTTTCAATAAGGGTGTGCAGGGTGAATACGTGGTCTGTCGTACGGTAATTTGGTAAAAAGCCAATTTCACATTTGCTCACTACATTGTTTTCACTGAGGAAATGTACGAGCCTGCTGTACAGGTTTTCTGGGTCTCTATGTTTTTGGTTGGATAGGTTTCTCAATTTCTTTCTTAGGTTTTTGCATTCTTCATCAAACCATTTGTCATTGTTGTTAATTTTGTTTTGTTTTCTGTTTCTGTTTAGATTTGATAGGGAAGCTGAGAGGTCAAATATACCGTTTAGGTTTTCTACTGCCAAGTTTACACCTTCACTATTACAGTGAAACGTTTTGTCCAGGAAGTTGTCTAAAAGGGATTGAATTTGTTGTTGCCTAATTGTTTTTTGGTAGGTTTCTACACTACTTTCCTTCCATCTATAGCATATCTTAATATTATTCAGTTCCTTTAGCTTTGATGCCTCATGATTGAGTATTGCTCTGTGATTTTCCTGTGATCTGATAGGGGTTGACTGTGAACGCTCTGAGAGACACTGGGTTTAGGTCAGTGATAAAGTAGTCTACAGCACTACTGCCAAGAGATGAGCTATAGGTGTACCTACTGTAGGAGTCACCTCGAAGCCTACCACTGACTATGTACATACCCAGCGTGCGACAGAGCTGCAGGAGTTGTGACCCGTTTTTGTTGGTTATGTTGTCGTAGTTGTGCCTAGGGGGGCATATGGGGGAGGGAATGCTGTCACCTCCAGGTATGTGTTTGTCCCCCTGTGTGCTGAGGGTGTCAGGTTCTTGTCCAGTTCTGGCATTTAGGTCGCCACAGACTAGTACATGTCCCTGGACCTGGAAGTGATTGATTTCCCCCTCCAGGATGGAGAAGCTGTCTTCATTAAAGTATGGGGATTCTAGTGGGGGGATATAGGTAGCACACAGGAGGACATTTGTCTCTGTTGAGATAATTTCCTTTTGAATTTCTAGCCCAATGTAAAATGTTCCTGTTTTGATTATTTGAATAGAGTGAGTTAGGTCTGCTCTATACCAAATTAGCACACCCCCTGAGTCCCTTCCCTGTTTCACACCTGGTAGTTTGGTGGATGTGACTACCAGCTCTCCGTAACCTAGAGGGCAACCAGTGGGTCCATCTCCTCTATACCATGTTTCTTGTAGGATGCTTTCTTTGGTGAAGTCCAGGTCCCTGCTCTTTAGGCCAAAGGCAGATGACCTCAGGCCTTGGATATTCCAGGATAAGATAGTGAAGGCTTTGTGCTCCATAAAGTGTCCAATGTTGTTAGTCGTGTGGTTTGGCCTCAGACCAGTAAGTGTGAGCAGAGCTGCTGAGCATCTGGTACATGCCATTGGCTTGGGCCTGTTTGCCTGCTCACGGCCTGGGAGTATGTGTGACTTTCATGTTGAGGCCCTCTTTGCGGGAGTGGAGGGCATGGGGTGGGTAGGAGGGGTATAGGTCTGATCTGAAGGGGCCTAGATGGGGTGTGGGCATGGTCGAGGTGGGGGTGTGGATGTGGCTGGTGGTGCTGTGGTCTGGATGTAGGTCCTCTCGGCGTGTGTCCTCTATGTGTAGGTCCGCGGGGATGTCCCGCAGGTCTGGGAGAGTGTCTCGCTGATCTGGGTGGGGTGTCTGTTGATCTGTTGCTCCTGTGTGAGGTTTTGGGGCTGCGGTTGAGGGCGATGTCCTTTAGGGTCCGGGCGAAGGTGGGCACTGCTGCCTTGTATAGGTGGACCTGGTCATAAAGGCTGTTCACGTCCAGGGTGGAGTGGTGGGCCAGGTAGATATTTGGTTTTGAGGCACAGTCACGGGAAATACTTGTGTTTACCCACTGTATGGTAGCAGGATGGAAGTATTTTCATGGTAGCAGGGTGGAGATAACCACTTGTGCGTTGGGGAAAGTAGAATAAGCTTTTTCAATCACTCCTTTGAGTGCTTTGGCCACCCTTTCCTGCTGTGTTCTCAGGTCGTTTGTGCCTGTGTGTATTATTATGTGGCTGGGTGATCCTAGTCGGTCCTCAGACAGAAGGTCTAGGGCGCGCTGGGTGTTTGGACACCAGAGTTTAGACACTGTGTTTGGGGAAACGTTTATTTTCTTGTATGTATTTCCCGTTTGAGTCCATAAGGTGTACAATATGTGGCTTGTGTGTGTCCTCAGTGGGTGTGGGGGGGGGGGGGGGGGGGGGGGGTCGTCAGGAGGTCTATCAGGGTGGCTGACGGGGGGTGCTCTGAGGGGGTGGGATCCCCTGGGCTTGGGTTCTTCATTTGTTTATCTGGCTGTAATGTCGAGGCTATGGTCAGGGTCTAGGGTGGGCTGTTCTGCTGGCTTCTCTGTGGGCGTGGCCAGCTCACTAATGGGTTGTTCTCAGTCATCGTTCTCACCTTCTCCTCCAGCACTCTGATCCTCTCCTCTAGTGCTCTGTTCTTCTCCTGCTCCTGCTCTTTCTCCTGTTGATGTTGTCTCACCACAGTCCAGAGTGCAGACATGTCTCTCTCTACCTGCAGCTCTCCAGGTCTAGTTAAGGGGGTGTTGTTGTGCTGGACTGTTGTCTGGGTCTGTGCTAACTGGAGTGTGTTCACCTGCTGTTCCAGCTTCACGTGCCTTACCTCCAGCTGGGTGAATGTATCCTTCATTTCAATGAGGGAGTAGTACTCTGTGCTGGCAGGTTTACTTTCCGTTTGGGGTTGATCGTCTGTGGAGTTATACAATGACGAGGTCTGGTCTGACCCGCTCGTGTGGGGGTATCTTTCTCAAAGGAGAGCTTCTCCTGCTGAGCTATTTCTTTGATTAGGTGAAAGTCCAGCAGAAACTGTTTGGTGTTGCCCTCTACGAATACTGTTCCAGATTTATATTGGCTGACTCAGAGTCCTTGTTGTCTAATATCCTGAGTTACTGCATTTAGGTGGGGTAGGCTGTGGAACTCTCCTGCCATTGTTGGGCTGAAGGGCTTCGACACCTCTCTCTTCACACCTCAGTGCTAATTGAAGTTGCAGTCAGATATACTGTCCTAGCAAGCTTGGTAGCCTTAACATAGCCTTCAGTCAATATAAAGTAAAATATATCATTGTGGTGTATTTTTCTTCTTGGTTGTAAAAGTAGCTTCAGCCTAAACATTACTCACTTAGTTTTCAGGTTTCTGTTGTTTGTTTGGCAGAGCATTTGCAGTATAGATTGGATCTCTGGTAGTAGGAATCCTTCCAGGTAATGTTGTCCAAAATAAGGTTGTAGGTTTAGAGTTTTGATTTGGAGTGAAGGTTATGTTGTGGAGGGTAGTATCCTGTGTATGTCCTTGCTGAAAAATCAAAGTTTATCTAACTCTTAATCTATCGTAGGCATAGACAAGATGGTGTATTGAATAGACAGGGGGGGTACAAATCACCTCAAGATAAAAACATAATATTCAAAATTAGTAAGTTAGACTAAATATTAGCATTTCATATATTCGCAGTTAATCAAATTCAATCTGGATAATAACACAAAACAAATCATAAGGCTAGAGAAATATATCGACAAATATTACAACAACACGCAACACCCAAACATGGCGGAAGATAAACTGAGGAGAACCAATCCCCAAGAGAAAACGCGACTCGTCGACTGATACAGATGATTTATGCTTTTCACCACTGGGTCTGGTAAGTGTGGAAAGCGACCTGTTGAAGTCGATAAATGACAAACTGGGCATACTGGAGTTGGTCAGTAAGGATGTAAAGGAGTTGAAAGCGAGTCTTGAAATGAGCGACGAAAAAGCTGCGATAATGGAGAAAGAAACCAAAACATTAAAAGGTGACAGTAACTATGGAAACGGACGTTAGGGAACTAAACAAGGAGAACAACCTTCTGAGAGAAGCCTTACTAGACATCCAAACTAGATCGATGAGAGAAAATCTAGTACTTACGGGTATTCAGGAAAAAGAGGGCGAAGTAACTGAGAATATTGTGAAGGACTTCCTTCTTACAGCGCTGCAGATTCCACTCGAGGCTGTCGATAAAATCCAACTCGAAAGTGTACACCGTTTCGGACAAAGAGGACAGAAATACGAGCGTCCAATCGTTGCCAAATGTGCTTTCTTTAAGGATAATGTAATGGTTAAAAGCCTAGGTAAAAGACTTGCTGGCACGAAAATAGGCATGAATGATCAGTTTCCAAGGGAGATTGCAGAAAGGCGCAAACTTCTGTATCCAATCTTCAAGGAAAATAGATTACAAGGGAAACGTGAGGCACTCGTTGTCGATAAACTGTATATTGACAACCAAATGTTCCGAGACACAAAGACTACTCCATGGCTATTCTGAAAGTTCTAATAGAGGAGTCGAATAATGGAACACCCAATACTAGCCATGGTAGGGATTGTAATATTAAAGAACATGTATAGTATTTTATAATAGGATAAGACGATATAACAAGAAAAAATAACAAGCATAATAATACATCTTCAAATACAACTAATTAGAACATTGCATTTTTGGCAGGCAATTGTTGTTTTGGCGGACGGTTGTTGTGGTTGGTCCTGTGTTCTCCCTGGCATCCTTTCCCCCTTGTGGCAGGTGTGGGATGCAGGCGCGCGCTCGGCCTCTATCCTCCGCAATCAGCCATGTGGAGTGCGTTTTTGTGTTTGGAAAAGTCAGGCGTTAAGTGAGTGAGAGGGGAAATGGTTGCATATCCCAGAACCAACGCGTGTCTATGAGCAGGGGTTGTGAGAGGGAGCTTTCAATGTTGTGTAGATGAGGGATATACATTTTAAAATATAGTATCCATCTAATCTATTTCTTTATTGTCCTATCATGATGGAACGATCCCCAACCCTATATCCTGGACACCCACCTGAGTGACCCATACACCAAAGAGAAGTTCCCATCTGTTTTATGGACCTGCTGTGAATTGCCTATATGCAGCCTGAACATATATATACATGAAGTGGTAGTTGCTTGTTAAAAATGTAATGTAATACAATGGAAATTCGGGTTATAGGTTCAAATCCTACGCATGAATGCCGACATTATTACGCACATTAATTGATAATGATGGAAAATAAGATATGCAAGATATTTGAATAGATATTTTTTTAAATAGCTACATATATATTGAGGTGAGAGCATTGGAAATGCTTTTGGCGGTTGACCTGCTTCTGTTTTGTGGGTGGCACTATGTGATGTTTTCGATGGATGGGTCCTGGCCCCTCGGGGGCCTAGAGATCCGGGGGGACAGGGGTGGTATGCTGATCACTGGGATAACGGCCCAACATGGGATGGGGAGGGGTTTTAGCGGGGGAATTATTGGAGAACAATTGGAGGGTTATTTAGTAACATTGCAAATATCATGGTACAGCTATATGGACACTCAATCACTATGGTATTTTCTATTGGTAAATGTACAAACATATATAATGACAAATAGATTTGATATATATATAATAGATAGATATTAGATAGATTCTTTCCTTTACACGGATCAGTCGTCCTGGTCCCTTTGCAGAAAAACAGCCCCAAACATGATGTTTCCACCCCAATGCTTCACAGTAGGTATGGTGTTCTTTGGATGCAACCCAGCATTCTCTGTCCTCCAAACACGACGAGTTGAGTTTTTACCAAAAAGTTCTATTTTGGTTTAATCTGACCATATGACATTCTCCCAATCCTCTTCTGGATCATCCAAATGCACTCTAGCAAACTTCAGACGGGCCTGGACATGTACTGGCTTAAGCAGGGGGACACGTTGTAATGAATACTCGGACAGAGTGGTAAGATCCAATCGCAGAATTGCGATGCTTTATTAGAGTACAGACAAGGAAATAGCTTAATCGTGGTCTGGCGAGCTGGGGTCAAAACCGGGCAAGGCAGAGACTGGCAGAGGTACCAAGGGAGCGGGCGTAGTCGTAGTCGAGGGCACGGGCACAGGTTCAGAGTACGGTAATCACTGGGATAGACAAGCAGAGGATTAAGCAATTCGGGGAGTCAAACAACGAAGCACAGGTCTGGTACACTGGTAATCAAAAACAAACTATCTCTCTCTCTCTCTCTCTGAACAAAACGCTTAGCAAGTCACAAAGGAACAATACCTCGCACCGACTGAACTTCTGAGCACACCTTATATCCTACTCTAATTACTGACAGGTGTGCTCAGAACTCAGGTGAAACAGATCGAGTCTGATGACTCCCCCTCTCTGTAGATCGGGGAAGTGTCAGACTCTGTCTAGATCCAGCCAAACCCCGATCCCTTATAGTATCCCCCTCCCCAGGGCCGGCTCCTGACAGCCTTCTACCTCTACCGGGTGGTCTTCCTCTGGGTCGGGGTCCTGGATGATCTGGGTGTTCAGCGTGGAATGTGGCCTTGAGAGCGGGATCCAGTATGTCCTTCGCAGGGATCCAGGACCGTTCCTCAGGTCCATATCCCTCCCAGTCCACGAGATATTCGATGCCCCCTCGTCTCCGTCTTGACTCCAGTATCTCGTGGACTGTATAGGTGGTGTCCTGTTCATCCTCCAAAGGTGGTGTAGTAGGTTGTTGAGCGATTGGGGGGTACATCGGGCTATAGTGGACAGGTTTCAACAGGGAGACGTGGAACGTAGGGGTTATCCTGTAGTGTCGGGGAAGTAACAGATGGTAGGTGACAGGGTTAATACGTCTCAGTATCTTGAAAGGCCCGATGTACCTAAGTTGAAGCTTCTAGCAGCTCCGTCGGAACCGCAGGTCCCGGGTAGACAGCCACACTCGTTGCCCAGATTGATAAGTGGGAGTAGGTCTCCGGCGTCGGTCGGCGTAGATCTTTTGCTGTTGTGAGGCCTGACTGAGATGTTGATGGGCCGTCTCCCAGACCTGCGCACTCAGACGGAACCACTCGTCCACAGCCGGTACCATCCCTGGTGCGGTATCCCACGGGAACAGGGGTGGTTGATACCCTAGAACACACTGGAAGGGCGTTAGACGTAGGGAGGTGTGAATGAGTGAGTTCTGAGCATACTCTACCCAAGGAAGGAATCGGCTCCACTCTTGCGGCTGCCGCGAACATTGTTGCCATAGATATTTCCCAATTTCCTGGTTGAGCCGTTCTGTCTGCCCATTGGCCTGGGGATGATATCCGGAGGTTAAGCTCACCGAGATGCCCAAGCGTTCGCAGAAGGCCTTCCATACCCGGGATACAAACTGGGGTCCCCGGTCGGAAACAATATCCTCCGGAACACCAAACTGCCGGAACACCTGGTTAAACATAGTCTCAGCCATCTGAGTGGCGTTAGGCAAACGGGTCATGGGTACTAACCGGCACATCTTGGAGTATCGATCGATGACCACGAGAATTACAGTATGGCCCTCTGATTCTGGTAGATCTGTAACAAAGTCCATTGCAATGTGCGACCAGGGTCGTTGAGGAGTTGGCAATGGCATCAGCTTACCCTCCGGTAGTGCACGAGGTACCTTGGACTGAGCACATACTGGGCAGGATAAGACATAGTCTCTGACGTCATCTGTGAGGGAATCCCACCAGTATTTTTGGCTGATGAGTCGTGTAGTTCGAGTGATTCCGGGATGACCAGATCCCAGCGACGTGTGGCACCATTCCATCAGTTGAGGTCGAAGCGGAGCTGGTACAAACACCTTTGACACCGGGGTTTCTGGAGGGGCTGGTTCCGCTTGTAGGCTCTCCTGAATAGTGTCATCAATAGCCCACCTCACAGGACCAGCACGGCAACTCATGGGGAGGATAGGTTCTGGTTCCACGGGTCTTTCCGCGCGCTCGAACCGTCTGGAAAGCGCGTCCGCCTTCCCATTCTTGGACCCGGGGATATAAGAGACAGTGAATCGGAAACGGTTGAAGAATAAAGACCACCTTGCCTGTCGGGAGTTCAGTCGTTTAGCACTGTGAAGATACTTCAGGTTGCGGTGGTCCGTGAGCACTTGGAACGTGATCCTCTGTAGCTCAGCTGGTAGAGCATGGCGCTTGTAACGCCAAGGTAGTGGGTTCGATCCCCGGGACCACCCATACACAAAAATGTATGCACGCATGACTGTAAGTCGCTTTGGATAAAAGCGTCTGCTAAATGGCATATTATTATATTATATTATTATATGCTCCCTCCAGCCAATGTCTCCACTCCTCCAGTGCTAACTTCACCGCCAGTAATTCACGATTACCCACGTCGTAGTTCTGCTCGGCCGAATTCAGTTTCCTTGAAAAGAAAGCACAGGGTCGTAATTTAGGCGGCTCACCTTGGCGCTGGGATAACACGGCTCCAACTCCAACCTCCGAGGCGTCCACTTCCACGATAAACGGCAAGGTAGGGTCCGGCTGACATAAATAGGAGCGGTGGTAAAGCGTTGTTTCAACGTCTCAAAAGCACACACTGCCCCCTCCGTCCAGTTCAAACCGCGACCCTTGTAGCTGGTCATCGCCTTCAGGGGAGCTGCGGTAGTGCTGAAATTACGCACGAACCGTCTATAGTAATTGGCAAACCCTAAGAATCTCTGGAGCTCTTTCACCGTCTGGGGTCGAGACCAGTCTCGTACCGCTTGCACCTTAAACCATCCAGTTTAACCCCGTCGGGAGTGAGTATGGCCCCAAGGAAGGAAATCGTAGTGACATCGAATTCACTATTTTCTGCCTTCACGAACAGAGAATGTTGTAGGAGTCGGTCCAGAACCTGTCGTACATGGGACACATGTTCACTCAGAGAGTTAGAATAGATTAGGATGTCATCAATGTACACTATAACAAAGCGATCAATCAAGTCCCTGAAAATGTCATTCATGAACGCCTGGAAAACTGAGGGCGCGTTGGTAAGTCCATAGGGCATGACACAATATTCATAGTGTCCTCGATGTGTGATGAAGGCGGTCTTCCATTCATCCCCTTCTCTAATGCGCACCAGATTGTACGCACTCCTGAGGTCCAGTTTACTGTAGATTGAGGCCTGCCCCACCTGCTCGAGGGCTGCTGGAATCAAAGGAAGAGGGTAACGATTTTTGATGGTAATATCGTTCAAACCTCGATAGTGTATACAAGGACGCAGTCCGCCATCCTTTTTCTTCACGAAGAAAAAACTGGATGCGGCGGGAGACGTAGATGGGCGAATGGCCCCTTGCTGTAGCGCCTCATCAATATACTTGCTCATCGATTCTCGTTCCGGCTGTGACAAAGGGTAGATTCTTCCACGAGGAGGTGTAGCCCCGGATAGCAGATCAATCGCGCAGTCCCAGGCCCGATGAGGTGGTAACACGGTAGCCCTCTCCTTGGAGAACACCTGCGCGTAATCCTGGTATTCTGTTGGAACAACAGTAGACACCGCACCCTGCGCATCCTCCACAGTAGACGTTTTGCACGGTAAATTGAGGCACTCTGCCCTACATACCTCACTCCAAGCAGTGATATCGCCAGATTTCCAGGAGATGACCGGATCATGGGTGACGAGCCAGGGGTGGCCGAGAACTAGCGGCTCCCGTGGAGCGGAGATGACGAACAGAATGATGTTCTCATGGTGTATGGAGCCCACTTGTAACTTTATTACCTCTGTACGGTGCGTAATGAACCCAGTGCCCATGGGCTCACCGTCTAGCGCGTTGACTCGCAGGGGAGGTTGAATTGGGATAAGATGAACCCCCAATTCCTCAGCGAGACCCATATCCATAAAACTGGCAGCCGCTCCGGAATCAATAAGACCTTCCAACCTGCGCACCTTCTCCCCGACAGATAAGGTAACTGGCACATACATTTGTTTAGATGTAATGTTGAAAACGTGAGTCTCACTCACCGGTTTGGCAGTTCCGAGGCGATATTCTGGGGTACGGTTTGGTCGAACCGGACATTGACGAATGAAATGACCCGACTGACCACAATACAGGCATAGTCCGTCTTGCCGACGTTGTTGTCTCACCGAACTTTGTAAGGGCGACCGTCCCAGTTGCATGGGTTCCTCCTCAGATTCTCTCCTCCGCTCTGTCGATTGCTTAGGACCAGTGACCGAGGGCTCCCGGACTGTGGATACCTTGTGTTGCACTATCAAATTATCAATAGAGATGGCTATGTTGATAAATTCATGTAGCGCAGTGATATCTCCCCGACAGGCCAACTCAGTCTGTACTTCTTTGCGCAGCCCTCTTCGGAAAACGGTGAGCAAAGCAGTCTCGCTCCAGCCGCTACCAGCTGCTATAGTCCGAAACTCTAAGGCGTAATCGACTACTGTGCGACGGCCCTGCTGAAGTTCGCATAGTTGGTCTCCCACGCTACGCCCAGATACTGGGTGGTCGAACACCTCTCGGAACAGTCTCTTAAACTGAACTTCCACATTCAACTCGGGGACCTCAGCTGCCCATAGCGCAGTAGCCCAATCCAGTGCTCTTCCCGTTAGCAGAGAAATCATGAAATCCACCCTGCTACGGTCATCGGAAAACATAGTACGATTATAGGACATATACAGGGACGTCTGAAGTAGAAACCCCTGACATTTGCCAGGTTCCCCATCGTACTTAGTCGGTAGAGAAATCGGAGGTGCATGACGAGGACTGACTGTGCTCGGGGTGGTGCCTTCAGCCGCACCAGCGTTGAGTAGTTGCAGGAGTTCATCCATCCGTTTCTCCTGTATCTCCCATCGCCTCTGTAATTCCGCTGGATCCATGGTTTTGGCGAGGTATTCTGTAATGAATACTCGGACAGAGTGGTAAGATACAATCGCAGAATTATTCGAGTACAGACAAGGAAATAGCTTAATCGTGGTCTGGCGAGCTGGGGTCAAAACCGGGCAAGGCAGAGACTGGCAGAGGTACCAAGGGAGCGGGCGTAGTCGTAGTCGAGGGCACGGGCACAGGTTCAGAGTACGGTAATCACTGGGATAGACAAGCAGAGGATTAAGCAATTCGGGGAGTCAAACAACGAAGCACAGGTCTGGTACACTGGTAATCAAAAACAAACTATCTCTCTCTCTCTCTCTGAACAAAACGCTTAGCAAGTCACAAAGGAACAATACCTCGCACCGACTGAACTTCTGAGCACACCTTATATCCTACTCTAATTACTGACAGGTGTGCTCAGAACTCAGGTGAAACAGATCGAGTCTGATGACTCCCCCTCTCTGTAGATCGGGGAAGTGTCAGACTCTGTCTAGATCCAGCCAAACCCCGATCCCTTATACACGTCTTGCACTGCAGGATTTGAGTCCCTGGCGGCGTAGTGTGTTACTGATGGTAGGCTTTGTTACTTTGGTCCCAGCTCTCTGCAGGTCATTCACTAGGTCCCCCCGTGTGGTTCTGGGATTTTTGCTCACCGTTCTTGTGATCATTTTGACCCCACAGGGTGAGATCTTGCGTGGAGCCCCAGATCGAGGGAGATTATCAGTGGTCTTGTATGTCTTCCATTTCCTAATAATTGTTCCCACAGTTGATTTCTTCAAACCAAGCTGCTTACCTATTGCAGATTCAGTCTTCCCAGCCTGGTGCAGGTCTACAATTTTGTTTCTGGTGTCCTTTGACAGCTCTTTGGTCTTGGCCATAGTGGAGTTTGGAGTGTGACTGTTTGAGGTTGTGGACAGGTGTCTTTTATACTGATAACAAGTTCAAACAGGTGCCATTAATACAGGTAACGAGTGGAGGACAGAGGAGCCTCTTAAAGAAGAAGATACAGGTCTGTGAGAGCCAGAAATCTTGCTTGTTTGTAGGTGACCAAATACTTATTTTCCACCATAATTTGCAAATAAATTCATAAAAAATCCTATAATGTGATTTTTTGGAGAAAAGAAATGTCAATTTGTCTGTCATAGTTGACGTGTACCTATGATGAAAATTACAGGCCTCTCTCATCTTTTTAAGTGGGAGAACTTGCACAATTGGTGGCTGACTAAATACTTTTTTTCCCCACTGTATAATGACAAATAGATTTGAAACTTGTATCTCATTATGGTATGTGGTGAAATAAGTATAGCCAGTTATAATTGTAATGGCTAAGCAGATAATAACAAAAGAAGAACAATATTTACATGGCTCAAAGAGAAGGAATATAATATCTATTGTTTACAGGAAACCCATTCAACAATTCTAGATGAAGTTGTCGTGGTAAAGGGAATGGGGGGGGGGGGGGGGGGGGGGGGGGGGGGGGGAGAAATATACTTCTCCCATGGGCTAAGAAACTCAAAAGGGGTGATGATATTAATTAACAGTAATTTCAATTCGAATGTGCAAATTGTCCAAACAGATACGCAAGGTAGATGGATGATTTTAAATCTGTTATTGGACCATAAACAAATATGGCTCATTAACCATTACGGACCAAATAATGATGATCCACACTTCTTTGAAAATATATATAATAAATTATCGACCTTGCAAGCAATTCAAGACTCTATTATTATGGTGGGAGATTATAATGCCGTTTTAAATAGCTCAATGGACCGTAAAGGAAATCACACTACAAACAATCACCCACATGCTCTTAAGAAAATCGTGACTGTCATGGATACATTAGAACTAGTAGATATATGGAGGCTTAAATATCCTGATCTAGTGAGATATACATGGCGGAGACTTAATCAAGCTAGTCGTCTTGACTTCTTTCTTATGTAATTCTCGTTGGCACCAAAAGTTTAAAAAGTGTTGATAGGGGACAGAATGCGGTACAGAATTCAGTACTTATCTCAAAAACAAAAGCAATTTAGGTCAAAAGAGTCCACACTAACAAAGGAAATAGAAGGTCTAACATAACAGATAGATAGCAATAAAAACTGTAACATAGAGGCTGTGAATAAATTAGAGGAAAAACAAAAAGAAATGGAGAAACTTATTCAAGAAAGATCAAGTGTAATATGTTATAAAAATAAAGCAAACTGGATGGAATATGGGGAAAAATGCACCAAATTATTTTTTTTATCTTCAACATAGGAATGCTACCAAAAATAATTTACTGAAACTGGTTACAAATGACGGAGTCACCCATGATTCACCAAATGATATTTTGAAGGAGAAAACAAAGTACTTTAAGCATATGTTTTCATTTCAGTCGCCTCCATCTCCTCTAACTGAAGCAAATTGTAGAGATGTTTTTCTTCTATTGATAATGTAAAATTAACAGCCATACAGAAAGACTCATGTGAAGGTGAAATTACAGAGGAGGAACTTCTGAATGCAATTAAAGAGTTTAAGTCCGGGAAAACTCCAGGGTTGGATGGCATATCAGTCGAGGTATACCAAACCTTTTTTGATATACTCAGAGGACTGTTATTAGCATGTTTTAACCACTCCTATGTAAATGGTAGATTATCAGACACTCAAGAAGAAGGCCTGATTTCATTATTACTGAAACAGGATACAAGTGGAAAATATAAAGATCCAGTCCATTAAAAGAATTGGTGGCCCCTTACACTTCAGTGTTGTGATGCTAAAATTCTAGCAAAATGTATAGCGCATAGAATTAAAAAGGTATTGTTGGACATTATTCATTCTAATCAGACAGGTTTTTTACATGGGCGATACATTGGAGATAATATAAGACAAGTACTGGAAACAATAGAACACTATGGAAAATATGGGAAGCCAGGCCTGCTATTCATAGCAGACTTCGAAAAGGTATTTGATAAAGTACGACTGGGGTTTATAGATAAATGCCTGGAGCATTTCAATTTTGGACCATCTCTTATAAATTGGGTTAAAATCATGTATAGTAACCCTAGGTGTAAAATAGTAAATAATGGCTATTTCTCAGAAAGGTTTAAACTGTCAAGAGGAGTGAAACAAGGTTGTCCACTATCGGCATATCTATTTATTATTGCCATCGAGATGTTAGCTATTAAATTCAGATCCAACAATAATATCAAGGGATTAGATATCCAGGGCTTAAAAACAAAGGTGTCATTGTACGCTGATGATTCATGTTTTCTTTTAAATCCACAACTTGAATCCCTCCACAGCCTCATAGAGGATCTAGATACATTTTCTAACCTCTCTGGATTACAACCAAATTATGATAAATGTACTCTATTACGTATCGGATCACTAAAAAAGTTTACCAATAAAATGGTCTGATGGTGATGTGGATATACTCGGAATACATATCCCAAATGAAATAAATGATCTCACTCCAATTTTATTAAATAGAAAGTTAGCAAAAATAGATAAGATCTTGCTACCATGGAAAGGTAAATACCTGTCAATTTGTGGAAAGATCACCCTGATTAACTCTTTAGCATTATCCCAGTTTACCTATTTGCTTATGGTCTTGCCTTGCCTATGCCTAGTGAACAGTTTTAAAAATTATATGAGAAAAAAATATTCAATTTTATTTGGAACGGCAAGCCAGACAAAATTTAATGGGCCTATTTATATAATGAATATGAATTAGGAGGACAGAAATGATTAAATATTAAAGCATTAGACCTATCACTAAAATTATACTTAAATCCGAACTGGTTCTCTAGCAAACTAGTAAGATTGTCTCACCTAATGTTCAAAAAGGGACTTTTTCCCTTTATTCCGATTACAACCCCTCACTTTCAGGTATTTGAAAAGGAAATCATCTCCCAAATATAACTATTTCTAAAACAAGCCATAGAAAGTTGGTTGCAATTTCAATTTAATCCTCCAGAAATGACAGAAAAAATATTGTAACAAATATTGTGGTTAAACTCAAATATACTAATTGATTAAAACAACTTTCTTTTTTAGAACATTAAAAAAAAAAGTATAATCTTCGTAAATGATATTATCGGTATGAATGGTGGAGTTATGTCGCACATGCAGCTAACAAAAACATATGGAAATGTCTGCTCTACCCAAAATTACAACCAAATAATTGTAGCATTACCGCAAAAATTGAAGAGGAAAGTGGAAGGAGGAAAAAGTAAGGAACTTGTCTGTCGGCCTTGCATTAAAGACCATCATTGTTTAAAGAAAATTGTGATAAATAGTAAAGTTTACCAGTATCAATTAAGGACCAAAAGATTGACAGCCGTCCCATATAGATTGCAAAATAGTTGGGAAGAGATTTTTGACGAACCGATTCCATGGCATAGTGTTTATGAACTGATACGCAAAATGACGGCGGATTCAAAACTTAGAGGAAAAAAAATTAGCAAATTATGGTGGAAAATAAGTATTTGGTCAATAACAAAAGTTTCTCAATACTTTGTTATATACCCATTGTTGGCAATGACACAGGTCAAACGTTTTCTGTAAGTCTTCACAAGGTTTTCACACACTGTTGCTGGTATTTTGGCCCATTCCTCCATGCAGATCTCCTCTAGAGCAGTGATGTTTTGGGGCTGTCGCTGGGCAACACGGACTTTCAACTCCCTCCAAAGATTTTCTATGGGGTTGAGATCTGGAGACTGGCTAGGCCACTCCAGGACCTTGAAATGCTTCTTACGAAGCCACTCCTTCGTTGCCCGGGCGGTGTGTTTGGGATCATTGTCATGCTGAAAGACCCAGCCACGTTTCATCTTCAATGCCCTTGCTGATGGAAGGAGGTTTTCACTCAAAATCTCACGATACATGGCCCCATTCATTCTTTCCTTTACACGGATCAGTCGTCCTGGTCCCTTTGCAGAAAAACAGCCCCAAAGCATGATGTTTCCACCCCCATGCTTCACAGTAGGTATGGTGTTCTTTGGATGCAACTCAGCATTCTTTGTCCTCCAAACACGACGAGTTGAGTTTTTACCAAAAAGTTATATTTTGGTTTCATCTGACCATATGACATTCTCCCAATCCTCTTCTGGATCATCCAAATGCACTCTAGCAAACTTCAGACGGGCCTGGACATGTACTGGCTTAAGCAGGGGGACACGTCTGGCACTGCAGGATTTGAGTCCCTGGCGGCGTAGTGTGTTACTGATGGTAGGCTTTGTTACTTTGGTCCCAGCTCTCTGCAGGTCATTCACTAGGTCCCCCCGTGTGGTTCTGGGATTTTTGCTCAACGTTCTTGTGATCATTTTGACCCCACGGGGTGAGATCTTGCGTGGAGCCCCAGATCGAGGGAGATTGGTCTTGTATGTCTTCCATTTCCTAATAATTGCTCCCACAGTTGATTTCTTCAAACCAAGCTGCTTACCTATTGCAGATTCAGTCTTCCCAGCCTGGTGCAGGTCTACAATTTTGTTTCTGGTGTCCTTTGACAGCTCTTTGGTCTTGGCCATAGTGGAGTTTGGAGTGTGACTGTTTGAGGTTGTGGACAGGTGTCTTTTATACTGATAACAAGTTCAAACAGGTGCCATTAATACAGGTAACGAGTGGAGGACAGAGGAGCCTCTTAAAGAAGAAGTTACAGGTCTGTGAGAGCCAGAAATCTTGGTTGTTTGTAGGTGACCAAATACTTATTTTCCACCATAATTTGCAAATAAATTCATTAAAAATCCTACAATGTGATTTTCTGGATTTTTTTTCCTCAATTTGTCTGTCATAGTTGACGTGTACCTATGATGAAAATTACAGGCCTCTCTCATCTTTTTAAGTGGGAGAACTTGTACAATTGGTGGCTGACTAAATACATTTTTCCCCCACTGTATGTATGTATATTTATATATACAGTGAGGGAAAAAAGTATTTGATCCCCTGCTGATTTTGTACGTTTGCCCACTGACAAAGACATGATCAGTCTATAATTTTAATGGTAGGTTTATTTGAACAGTGAGAGACAGAATAACAACAAAAAATCCAGAAAAACACATGTCAAAAATGTTATAAATTGATTAGCATTTTAATGAGGGAAATAAGTATTTGACCCCTCTGCAAAACATGACTTAGTACTTGGTTGCAAAACCCTTGTTGGCAATCACAGAGGTCAGACGTTTCTTGTAGTTGGCCACCAGGTTTGCACACATCTCAGGAGGGATTTTGTCCCACTCCTCTTTGCAGATCTTCTCCAAGTCATTAAGGTTTCGAGGCTGATGTTTGGCAACTCGAACCTTCAGCTCCCTCTACAGATTTTCTATGGGATTAAGGTCTGGAGACTGGCTAGGCCACTCCAGGACCTTAATGTGCTTCTTCTTGAGCCACTCCTTTGTTGCCTTGGCCGTGTGTTTTGGGTCATTGTCATGCTGGAATACCCATCCACGACCCATTTTCAATGCCCTGGCTGAGGGAAGGAGGTTCTCACCCAAGATTTGACGGTACATGGCCCCGTCCATCGTCCCTTTGATGCGGTGAAGTTGTCCTGTCCCCTTAGCAGAAAAACACCCCCAAAGCATAATGTTTCCACCTCCATGTTTGACGGTGGGGATGGTGTTCTTGGGGTCACAGGCAGCATTCCTCCTCCTCCAAACACGGCGAGTTGAGTTGATGCCAAAGAGCTCGATTTTGGTCTCATCTGACCACAACACTTTCACCCAGTTCTCCTCTGAATCATTCAGATGTTCATTGGCAAACTTCAGACGGGCCTGTATATGTGCTTTCTTGAGCAGGGGGACCTTGCGGGCGCTGCAGGATTTCAGTCCTTCACGGCGTAGTGTGTTACCAATTGTTTTTTTGGTGACTATGGTCCCAGCTGCCTTGAGATCATTGACAAGATCCTCCCGTGTAGTTCTGGGCTGATTCCTCACCGTTCTCATGATCATTGCAACTCCACGAGGTGAGATCTTGCATGGAGTCCCAGGCCGAGGGAGATTGACAGTTATTTTGTGTTTCTTCCATTTGCAAATAATCGCACCAACTGTTGTCACCTTCTCACCAAACTGCTTGGCGATGGTCTTGTAGCCCATTCCAGCCTTGTGTAGGTCTACAATCTTGTCCCTGACATCCTTGGAGAGCTCTTTGGTCTTGGCCATGGTGGAGAGTTTGGAATCTGATTGATTGTTTGCTTCTGTGGACAGGTGTCTTTTATACAGGTAACAAGCGTCGGCTGGAGTGCTGTAAAGCACGCCACCATTGGAACCTGGAGCAGTGGAAACGCTTTCTCTGGAGTGATGAATCACGCTTCACCATCTGGCAGTCCGACGGACAAGTCTGGATTTGGCGGATGCCAGGAGAACGCTACCTGCCCCAATGCATAGTGCCAACTGTAAAGTTTGGTGGAGGAGGAATAATCGTCTGGGGCTGTTTTTCCTGGTTCGGGCTAGGCACCTTAGTTCCAGTGAAGGGAAATCTTAACGCTACAGTATGCAATGACATTTTAGATGATTCTGTGCTTCCATTTTTGTGGCAACAGTTTGGGGAAGGCCCTATCCTGTTTCAGCATGACAATGCCCCTGTGCACAAAGAGAGGGCCATACAGAAATGCTTTGTGTGGAAGAAATTGACTGGCCTGCACAGAGCCTGACCTCAACCCCCATCGAACATCTTTGGGATGAATTGAAACGCCGACTGCGAGCCAAGGCCTAATCGCCCAACATCAGTGCCCGACCTCACTAATGCTGTTGTGGCTGAATGGAAGCAAGTCCCCGCAGCAATGTTACAACATCTAGTGGAAATCCTTCCCAGAAGAGTGGAGGCTGTTATAGCAGCAAAGGGGGGACCAACTCCATATTAATGCCCATGATTTTGGAATGAGGTGTTGGACGAGCAGGTGTCCACATACTTTTGGTAATTTATTGTATATAGTTTTGATCCCTTAGAATGACTTTGATGTCATCTTTTTACTATAGTGAACAGGGGTATGTATAGTATGAAACACAAAAGTATATTGGAACTGTAATATACTGTAAGTATATTGGGAGAGTTGAGTGTACTATTCATTGGAAGACATGGACACAATAAAAGCAGAAGTATTATCGTTGTGTTGCTTCGTTCATGTCAGACACTTCAACTTGTCAGACAGACAACATTTCAGACAGACAACATGTCAGACAGACAACATGTCAGACAGACAACGTGTCAGACAGACAACGTGTCAGACAGACAACATGTCAGACAGACAACATGTCAGACAGACAACATGTCAGACAGACAACATGTCAGACAGACAACATGTCAGACAAACAACAGCTGGAGTTAACAGTAGAAGAAGTGGGGATATGAGGTAGGATCATTCTTCCTGGTTACAAATATAATACTGACATGACATAATGAGTGAAAGTCAACTCAATGAAAACACTAAACACACTTCGGGACCTGTGATCAGAAACTGTCCCGTCAGTCCTGATTTAACCCAATCGATGCCTCATCAAATCATCAGGAGAAATCTTAACTTGAGATCCACATGCGTGACTAGAGTTTTCCTACAAAACTAACATTGACCTTAACCATTTACTGCAGTGGGCTAAATCAGGGTCGCACAGAGTGTTTCTTGGTAGTCTTGAACAAATCTACATTGAAACAAAAGTATACACCTCACACATGTGGTTATGGGCTTAAAAAAAAAAAAAAGACCCCTTGTACCATGTCAGATATAGAGTTGAAATGCATTCAAATGTGAGTTTTCATCCCAATATTACACTTTATATACATCACAGAAGACTGAAATATAACAAAAACCCTTTGACATAGAATTTGTATTTCTTTATGTTTATTAATTATGAAATTATGCATTTTTTTTTTAATAACATTCCACCCAGGAGGCCACTAGGTCATTTGACAGCACGATTTAAGAGCATGGATCTCAAGTTATTTATCTCAAGGATTTGGACCGTGCATAGTCAATGACTGACTCACGTTGGTCCCATTGTGTCCACAGCCAAACATCTCCAGTGATGTCTTGTGTGGCTCAGGCACGATCCTGCTGTTAGCCAGCAGCATAGGGGTCTCGTACTGGAAGTAATCTGCTCCCACAAACACCCTGATGCCGTCGGGGCTGCACACGGCAGCGTCCACCTTGGGGAACGGCAGCCTGGACTCCATGACCACACCTCTTGGAGTGCTGGTCAGCTCAATGTCAAACATCTGGTTCCCTGGAAGGGAGGGAGGGAGGGAGGGAGGGAGGGAGCAGTGGAGAGGTATGAAGACCTCATGTGACAAGAGTCGTATTCATTAAGTCACCAAATGGAAACAAGAGTCGTATTCATTAAGTCACCAAATGGAAACAAGAGTCGTATTCATTAAGTCACCAAATGGAAACAAGAGTCGTATTCATTAAGTCACCAAATGGAAACAAGAGTCGTATTCATTAAGTCACCAAATGGAAACAAGAGTCGTATTCATTAAGTCACCAAATGGAAACAAGAGTCGTATTCATTAAGTCACCAAATGGAACCAAGAGTCGTATTCATTAAGTCACCAAATGGAAACAAGAGTCGTATTCATTAAGTCACCAAATGGAAACAAGAGTCGTATTCATTAAGTCACCAAATGGAAACAGGAGTCGTATTCATTAAGTCACCAAATGGAAACAAGAGTCGTATTCATTAAGTCACCAAATGGAAACAAGAGTCGTATTCATTAAGTCACCAAATGGAAACAAGAGTCGTATTCATTAAGTCACCAAATGGAAACAAGAGTCATATTCATTAAGTCACCAAATGGAACCAAGAGTCGTATTCATTAAGTCACCAAATGGAAACAAGAGTCGTATTCATTAAGTCACCAAATGGAAACAAGAGTCGTATTCATTAAGTCACCAAATGGAAACCAAGAGTCGTATTCATTAAGTCACCAAATGGAACCAAGAGTCGTATTCATTAAGTCACCAAATGGAAACAAGAGTCGTATTCATTAAGTCACCAAATGGAAACAAGAGTCGTATTCATTAAGTCACCAAATGGAAACAAGAGTCGTATTCATTAAGTCACCAAATGGAAACAAGAGTCGTATTCATTAAGTCACCAAATGGAAACAAGTCGTATTCATTAAGTCACCAAATGGAAACAAGAGTCGTATTCATTAAGTCACCAAATGGAAACAAGAGTCGTATTCATTAAGTCACCAAATGGAAACAAGAGTCGTATTCATTAAGTCACCAAATGGAAACAAGAGTCGTATTCATTAAGTCACCAAATGGAAACAAGAGTCGTATTCATTACATTGCACCCTCTATGTAAATGTATGACAAAAGAAGGTTGGCACCGCACCCTTGATGACGTGCAAAATGGAATGTTCTCCACAGACAAAGGCAGCGTCCAGCGGTCCTTCGATCCCCAGCTCATCCTTCAGGGGTTTGGGGAATCCCTCCACCAGCTGGTACTGTTCACCACCAGACTTATACACAAACATCTGCTCTTCCTGTTGTTACAGCATACGCCAGTGAAGAAACATTACAAGTGGGTCTACACCTTGGTGATGGAAGAGGCCTTACTATTACGCTTTGAGCTCCTACTGTAGGTTGGAAAGGCGCTATATAAATCCAAGCAATTATTGTTATTAGGAGAAGAAGCCCATCGAGGGACAATCACTGGAAATCAGCTCCAGCTAATGTGTGACGGGGCCAAGGCCCTCTCTCTCTCTCTCTCTCTCTCTTGCTATCTCGCAGAGCGAGAGAGATCGCGAGAGAGGAGAGATGAGGAGAGAAATACGCATCCACCTCTATCTATCTCTCTCGCCATCTCCTCGATCGTATAGCTATCGCGCGCGATATCTAGCTCTCGATCTCTCTCTCCTTCTCTCTCTCTCTCCTCTCCTCTCATCTCCCTCCTCCCTCCCTCCAACGTCCCTCCTCACCTCCCTCCCTCCCTCCCTCTCACCTTGATGAAGTGCAGGTGGCCAGCGTAAGAGAAGGCTGCTGTCACGTCACTCTGCAGGTCCTTGAAGGTATGAGCGATGGGGAAGGCATGCCAGCCATCATTGCTCCCCTCAGTCTTCTGCAGGTAATAGTCACCTGTGAGAAGCGGGCGAGCAGTTTTGGACAGATTTAAGATAGGGAGGAGTATTTTTTATTTTATTTTGCCTTTATTTAACCAGATAGGTCATTGAGACTTTCTCGTTTACAATAAAATGCTACAGTGCAGGTTACAGTGCACGACAACACCATATCAACACACACAGGTACACAACCACTGAGGTCAAACACACTATGAACAGACACACAGGTACACACAACGAGTAAAAAACAAAGCCATATACACCTCTGAAGGCGAGGGCTTTCTCCAGGTCATCTGATGTCATGGCGTCCAAGGGGACGTGGCTGCAACGCTCTCTCTCCGTGTGGTCGCTCAAACGGCCTGGGTGACATCATGATCAAATCAGAAACTTCACAAAGATGCACATTAAAAGGTAGATTCAGCGATGCAAGACTTTTGCTTTCACACAGTCACACAGAGTGTATCTGCGCTTGTGCACGGGTTCGCTTCACACTGCTACAATGTGGTAGTTATGGGACAAAAAGAGCTGAGACGTTTAGAGTCGCGCTTCAACGCTCTTAGTTTTTGCGGAGATTTACCCACTACTGCTGTTTAATTTCCGCATCTACATCATCTTGCTGAGTCTACCTTTAACAACACATTAATAACAACCATACATGGCTGGTCAACGTTAAGATGTCAGCTGTGTTTGAGATCTGTGTTTAGCTGCCCCCCCCCCCCCCCCCCCCGGACTCACTGAAGTTGGGGCACTTCATGAAGAAGTCGCGGGCGTCTTTGGGGTACTTCCCTGTCACAGTCCCGGACCAAGGGTGGAACCTGGTGAACTGGTGTCCATGGAAACAGTAGTAGTGATCCAACCAGCGAAGTGCTGAGGTGCAGTTGGGGAGGTGGTCCCACTGGCTAGCCTTCACTTTCTTAGTGTGGGTGTCAAAGTGGAACACGTCATGCCCTGGGGGGAGGAAGCAGGGTTGGAGTCAATTCAGGTATCAATAATATATAATAGCATTATACAGTTGAAGTCCGAAGTTTACATACACCTTAGCCGAATACATTTAATCCTAGTAAAGATTCCTTGTTCTACGTCAGTTAGGATCACCACTTTATTTTAAGAATGTGAAATGTCAGAATACTAGTAGAGAGAATGATTTATTTCAGCTTTTACTTCTTTCATCACATTACCAGTGGGTCAGAAGTTTACATACACTCAATTAGTATTTGGTAGCATTGTCTTCAAATTGTTTAACTTGGGTCAAACGTTTCGCGTAGCTTCCCACAATAAGTTGGGTGAATTTTGGCCCATTCCTCTTGACAGAGCTGGTGTAACTGAGTCAGGTTTGTAGGCCTCCTTGCTCGCACACGCTTATTCAGTTCTGGCCACACATTTTCTATAGGATTGAGGTCAGGGCTTTGTGATGGCCACTCCAATACCTTTACTTGTTGTTGTCCTTAAGCCATTTTGCCACAACTTTGGAAGTATGCTTGTGGTCATTGTCCATTTGGAAGACCCATTTGCTACCAAGCTTTAACTTCCTGACTGATGTCTTGAGATTTTGCTTCAATATATCCACATCATTTTCCTTCCTCATGATGCCATCTATTTTGTGAAGTGCACCAGTCCCTCCTGCAGCAAAGCACCCCCACAGGATGATGCTGCCACCCCTGTGCTTCACGGTTGGGATGGTGTTCTTAGGCTTGCAAGCCTCCCCCTTTTTCCTCCAAACATAACGATGGTCATTATGCCAAACAGTTCTATTTTTGTTTCATCAGACCAGAGGATATTTCTCCAAAAAGTACGATCTTTGTCCCCATGGGCAGTTGCAAACCGTAGTCCGGCTTTTTTATGGCGGTTTTGGAGAGCAGTGGCTTCTTCGTTGCTGAGCAACCTTTCAGGTTATGTCGATATAGGACTCGTTTTATTGTGGATATAGATACTTTTGTACCTGTTTCCTCCAGCATCTTCACAAGGTCATTTGCTGTTGTTCTGGGATTGATTTGCACTTTTCGCACCAAAGTACGTTCATCTCTAGGATACAGAACGCGTCTCCTTCCTGAGCGGTATGATGGCTGCGTGGTCCCATGGTGTTTATACTTGCGTACTATTGTTTGTACAGATGAACGTGGTACCTTCAGGCGTTTGGAAATTGCTCCATAGGATGAACCAGAATTGTGGAGGTCTACACATTTCTTTGTGAGGTCTTGGCTGATTCCCATGATCAAATCAAATCAAATCAAATTGTATTTGCCACATGCGCCGAATACAACAGGTGCAGACATTACCGTAAAATGCTTACTTACAGCCCTTACCCAACAATGCAATTATTTCTTAATAAAAAACTACAATAAAACAACAACAACAAAAAAGAGCAGAAGTAAAATAAAATAACAGTAGGGAGGCTATATACAGGGGGGTACCGGTGCAGAGTCAATGTGCGGGGGCACCGGCTAGTTGAGGTAGTTGAAGTAATATGTACATGTGGGTAGAGTTAAAGTGACTATGCATAAATATATAACAGAGTAGCAGCAGCGTAAAAAGATGGGGTGGGGGTGGGGGGGCAGTGCAAATAGTCCGGGTAGCAATGATTAGCTGTTCATGAGTCTTATGGCTTGGGGGTAGAAGCTGTTGAGAAGCCTTTTGGACCTAGACTTGGCGCTCCGGTACCGCTTGCCGTGCAGTAGCAGAGAGAACAGTCTATGACTAGGGTGGCTGGAGTCTTTGACAATTTTGAGGGCCTTCCTCTGACACCGCTTGGTATAGAGGTCCTGGATGGCAGGAAGCTTGGCCCCAGTGATGTACTGGGCCGTACGCTCTACCCTCTGTAGTGCCTTGCGGTCAGAGGCCGAGCAGTTGCCATACCAGGCGGTGATGCAACCAGTCAGGATGCTCTCGATGGTGCGGCTGTAGAACTTTTTGAGGATCTGAGGACCCATGCCAAATCTTTTTAGTCTCCTGAGGGGGAATAGGCTTTGTCCTGCCCTCTTCACGACTGTCTTGGTGTGTTTGGACCATGATAGTTCGTTGGTGATGTGGACACCAAGGAACTTGAAGCTCTCAACCTGTTCCACTACAGCCCCGTCGATGAGAATGGGGGCTTGCTCAGTCCACTTTTTTTTCCAGTAGTCCACAATCATCTCCTTTGTCTTTGTCACGTTGAGGGAGAGGTTGTTATCCTGGCACCACACAGCCAGGTCTCTGACCTCCTCCCTATAGGCTGTCTCATCGTTGTCTGTGATCAGGCCTACCACTGTTGTGTCGTTGGCAAACTTAATGATGGTGTTGGAGTCGTGCTTGGCCATGCAGTCATGGGTGAACAGGGAGTACAGGAGGGGACTGAGCACGCACCCCTGAGGGGCCCCTGTGTTGAGGATCAGCGTGGCAGATGTGTTGTTACCTACCCTTACCACCTGGGGGCGGCCCGTCAGGAAGTCCAGGATCCAGTTGCAGAGGGAGGTGTTTAGTCCCAGGATCCTTAGCTTAGTGATGAGCTTTAAGGGCACTATGGTGTTGAATGCTGAGCTGTAGTCAATGAATAGCATTCTCACGTAGGTGTTCCTCTTGTCCAGGTGGGAAAGGGCAGTGTGGAGTGCAATAGAGATTGCATCATCTGTGGATCTGTTGGGGCGGTATGCAAATTGGAGTGGGTCTCGGGTTTCTGGGATAATGGTGTTGATGTGAGCCATGACCAGCCTTTCAAAGCACTTCATGGCTACAGACGTCAGTGCTACGGGTAGGTAGTCATTTAGACAGGTTATCTTAGTGTTCTTGGGCACGGGGACTATTGTGGTCTGCTTGAAACATGTTGGTATTACAGACTCAGTCAGGGACATGTTGAAAATGTCGGTGAAGACACTTGCCAGTTGGTCAGCACATGATCGGAGTACACGTCCTGGTAATCCGTCTGGCCCTGCGGCCTTGTGAATGTTGACCTGCTTAAAAGTCTTACATCGGCGACGGAGAGCGTGATCACATAGTCATCTGGAACAGCTGGTGCTCTCATGCATGCTTCAGTGTTGCTTGCCTCGAAGCGAGCATAGAAGTGGTTTAGCTCGTCTGGTAGGCTTGTGTCACTGGGAAGCTCGCGGCTGTGCTTCCCTTTGTAGTCTGTAATAGTTTTCAAGCCCTGCCACATCTGACGAGCGTCAGAGCCGGTGTAGTACGATTCAATCTTAGTCCTGTATTGACTCTTTGTCTGTTTGATGGTTCATCGGAGGGCATAGCGGGATTTCTTATAAGCGTCCAGGTTAGAGTCCCGCTCCTTGAAAGCGGCAGCTCTACCCTTTAGCTCAGTGCAGATGTTGCCTGTAATCCATGGCTTCTGGTTGGGGTATGTACATACGGTCACTGTGGGGATGACGTCATCGATGCACTTATTGATGAAGCCAGTGACTGATGTGGTGTACTCCTCAATGCTATCTGAAGAATCCCAGAACATGTTCCAGTCTGTGCTAGCAAAACAGTCCTGTAGCTTAGCATCTGCTTCATCTGACCACTTTTTTATTAACCGAGTCACTGGTGCTTCCTGCTTTAGTTTTTGCTTATAAGCAGGAATCAGGAGGATAGAGTTATGGTCAGATTTGCCAAATGGAGGGCGAGGGAGAGCTTTGTATGCCTCTCTGTGTGTGGAGTAAAGGTGGTCTAGAGTTTTTTTTCCTCTGGTTGCACATTTAACATGCTGGTAGAAATTAGGTAGAACGGATTTAAGTTTCCCTGCATTAAAGTCCCCGGCCACTAGGAGCGCTACCTCTTGGTGAGCGTTTTCCTGTTTAGTTATGGCCTTATACAGCTCATTGAGTGCAATCTTAATGCCAGAATTGGTTTGTGGTGGTAAATAGACAGCTATGAAAAATATAGATGAAAACTATTTTAGTAAATAGTGTGGTCTACAGCTTATCATAAGATACTCTACCTCAGGCGAGCAAAACCTCGAGACTTCCTTAGTATTAGATTTTGTGCACCAGCTGTTGTTTATAAATATACAAAGACCGCCACCCCTTGTCTTACCAGAGTCAGCCGTTCTATCCTGCCGATGTCAAGCAAATAGGCACTGAGTTTGAAGGTAGGCCTTGAAATAAATCGACAGGTACACCTCCAATTTGCTCAAAGTATGTCAATTAGCCTATCAGAAGCTCCTATAGCCATGACATCATTTTCTGGAATTTTCCAAGCTGTTTAAAGGCACAGTCAACTTAGTGTATGTAAACTTCTGACCCACTGGAATTGTGATACAGTGAATTATAAGTGAAATAATCTGTCTGTAAACAATTGTTGGAAAAATTACTTGTGTCATGCACAAAGTACATGTCCTAACCAACTTGCCAAAACTAATGTTTGTTAACAAGAAATTTGTGGAGTGGTTGAAAAACAAGTTTTAAACTTCCGACTTCAACTGTATATTTTTATCCAAAGCGGTTTACAGTCATGTGTCCATGAATATTTTACTTATGGGTGGTCCCAGGAAAGAAACACTATCCTGGCATTGCAAGTGCCATGCTCTACCAACTGAGCTACAGAGGACAGGGATTGAAATGTTTTAATTGAAAATGCTACATTTACACATTGTTGATTTATAGAGATTGATTGTTGATTTATAGAGATATAGGACATTGATTAGCTTACCCTTAAAGAATATGACAGAGTCTCGGAGACAATCTCCCTTTGGACACTCCACAGCAGCGTCCAGGTGGTCAGGGACACCAGGGAACACCTCAGAGATGTCCTTGGGGAAGCCCTCCACCAGGCTATGGCTATGCTCATGGTAGCTGAACACCTTGTTGTCCTAGAGAGGAGAGAGGAATCAGAGGGAAAGGCGGAGCTACTGCCATATTGTTTAGAACAATCCAATCTTTTTTAGATCTACACAAGTGTCAAAGTGCTGGGGATAGAGGGTGTTTCTGGACGGGACCAGGGTGTTTCTGGACGGGACCAGGGTGTTTCTGGACGGGACCAGGGTGTTTCTGGACGGGACCAGGGTGTTTCTGGACGGGACCAGGGTGTTTCTGGAAGGGACCAGGGTGTTTCTGGACGGGACCAGGGTGTTTCTGGACGGGACCAGGGTGTTTCTGGATGGGACCAGGGTGTTTCTGGACGGGACCATGGACGGGACCAGGGTTTTTCTGGACGGGACCAGGGTGTTTCTGGACGGGACCAGGGTGTTTCTGGACGGGACCAGGGTGTTTTTGGACGGGACCAGGGTGTTTTTGGACGGGACCAGGGTGTTTCTGGACGGGACCAGGGTGTTTCTGGACGGGACCAGGGTGTTTCTGGAAGGGACCAGGGTGTTTCTGGACGGGACCAGGGTGTTTCTGGACGGGACCAGGGTGTTTCTGGACGGGACCAGGGTTTTTCTGGACGGGACCAGGTGTTTCTGGACGGGACCAGGGTGTTTCTGGACGGGACCAGGGTGTTTTGGACGGGACCAGGGTGTTTCGGACGGGACCAGGGTGTTTCTGGAAGGGACCAGGGTTGTTTCTGGAGGGACCAGGGTGTTTCTGGACGGGACCAGGGTGTTTCTGGATGGGACCAGGGTGTTTCTGGACGGCACCATGGCGGGACCAGGGTGTTTCTGGACGGGACCAGGGTGTTTCTGGACGGGACCAGGGTGTTTCTGGACGGGACCAGGGTGTTTTCTGGAAGGGACCAGGGTTTTCTGGACGGGACCAGGGTGTTTCTGGACGGACCAGGGTGTTTCTGGATGGGACCAGGGTGTTTGGACGGGACCATGGACGGGACCAGGGTGTTTCTGGATGGGACCAGGGTGTTTCTGGACGGGACAGGGTGTTTCTGACGGGACCAGGGTGTTTCTGGATGGGACCAGGGTTGTTTCTGGACGGGACCAGGTGTTTCTGGACGGGACCAGGGTGTTTCTGGACGGGACCAGGGTGTTCTGGATGGGACCATGGACGGGACCAGGGTGTTTCTGGACGGGACCAGGGTGTTTCTGGACGGACCAGGGTGTTTCTGGACGGGACCAGGGTGTTTCTGGACGGGACCAGGGTGTTTCTGACGGGACCAGGGTGTTTCTGGACGGGACCAGGGTTTTTTCTGGAAGGGACCAGGGTGTTGGAGACCAGGTGTTCTGGACGGGACCAGGGTTGGGTTTCTGGACGGGACCAGGGTGTTTCTGGACGGGACCATGGACGGGACCAGGGTGTTTCTGGACGGGACCAGGGTGTTTCTGGACGGGACCAGGGTTGTTTCTGGACGGGACCATGGACGGGACAGGGTGTTTCTGGACGGGACAGGGTGTTCTGGACGGGACCAGGGTGTTTCTGGACGGGACCAGGGTGTTTCTGGACGGGACCAGGGTGTTCTGGACGGGACCAGGGTGTTTATGGACGGGACCATGGACGGGACCAGGGTGTTTCTGGACGGACCAGGGGTTTCTGGACGGACCAGGTGTTCTGGACGGACCATGGACGGGACCAGGGTGTTTCTGGACGGACCAGGGTGTTTAGGACGGGACCAGGTGTGTTCTGGACGGGACCAGGGTGTTTCGGACGGGACCAGGGTGTTTGGAAGGGACCAGGGTGTTTCTGGACGGGACCAGGGTTGTTTCTGGACGGGACCAGGGTGTTTCTGGATGGGACCAGGGTGTTTCTGGATGGGACCATGGACGGGACCAGGGTGTTTCTGGACGGGACCAGGGTGTTTCTGGACGGGACCAGGGTGTTTCTGGACGGGACCAGGGTGTTTCTGGACGGGACCATGGACGGGACCAGGGTGTTTCTGGACGGGACCAGGGTGTTTCTGGACGGGACCAGGGTGTTTCTGGACAGGACCATGGACGGGACCAGGGTGTTTCTGGACGGGACCAGGGTGTTTCTGGACGGGACCAGGGTGTTTCTGGACGGGACCATGGACGGGACCAGGGTGTTTCTGGACGGGACCAGGGTGTTTCTGGACGGGACCAGGGTGTTTCTGGACGGGACCAGGGTGTTTCTGGACGGGACCAGGGTGTTTCTGGACGGGACCAATGTTCAGGTTTGGGGAGTAACTGATTGCATGTAATCAGCTACATGTAATTAGATTATTTATTTTTTTACTGTAACTGTAGTCAGTACCAGCTCTAATATTGTAATAAGATTACAGATACTTTTGAAAAACTAGATGATTACTTCTTGGATTACTTTTAAATTCAGAAAGGATGTTTGTTTTCAATTCCACCTGAGCTAGTCTGACCACAAGTCAGAGAACACTATGATGACAGACCAAATGATGACCACCAATCAGAGACCTCTATGATGACAGACCAAATGATGACCACCAATCATAGACCACTATGATGACAGACCAAATGCGTTTGATGGATCCTTTTTGTCTTCTTCTAATGCCTATTACTGAAAGTAATCAAAAAGTAACTGAAAATAATCAAATTACTTTACTGAGTTTGGGTGATCCAAATGTTACGTAACTGATTACAATTTTTGAACAGGTAACTAGCAACTGTAACAAATTATATTTAGAAAGTAACCTACCCAACCCTACCAGCGTTTCAGTAGATATCCCTAGAAGTTGAAAAATAAGTATTTTTGGTTTAAAAGATGTTGAAAAGACGCCTTTCAACCAATTTTGCTCACTGGGATGGTAAAAACAGGAAGTGAGAGGTCAATACCAGGAAGAAGTAGGTGTGCAAATGGTCTTCGTCGTTAGGCTGGTGGAGACAGAAAGCAGCATCGACGTGACCCAGGTGATGATGATCGTCCAGCTCCTTGTAGGAACCGTTGATCAGCTCAGAGGGACCATGGAAGCCGGACCACATGTGGTCACCTGGCAGAACCAAATCCACACGGTCGGTCAACTCAGATTAATAAAGATCGTCCACTGGGCAACGACTGCCTGTCACTGTTTTCTCGGGATGCATCTAAACATACTGATCAATAATTGTAGTAATAATACTAATCAATAATAGATAATAGTAGAATTATGAGTCATCAACACTGAAAGACAGATGGGGTTCATGGCTGTTGTGAATATTAAGGTGATTGCATTGGTAGAGATGATTGATTGGTTTTATTTGACAGTTTAAAAAAATACAGTACATATACACACAATACATACATTTTCAAACTTGTCAGGGATATCACAATAAAGTGGGAAAATGCATATATTTTCTTTATTCGAATTCTAGAATATTCACATGAAAATCTGTCGCCAGTTGGATGGAACCCTAGCTACTTATTTCAATTGTGGTGCATAATGCGACGTGTTAGTTAGTTACCCTTGAAGAAGTAGGTGATTCTCTTGGCGTCCGGGGCGATAGCATCAAACTCAATCTCTTCACAACGGTCCAACTGGGCTCCATGGTGATCTGGTCCAGCTAGGGTTGCAATGGGAGGGTATATTACTCACAACTTTTAAAGTTTACCAGTAAACTACCAGAATGTTGGTAACTTTCAAGGTTTATTTGGAATATTATAAGATTACATCTAGTGGCCTTTTGGGGACTTCAGATTATCACACCATCTGTAATTATCTCTAGACCTCTGTGTGACCTTACTACATGTACTATATGAAATTATGAAATAAGATTATTTAAAAAAATTGAATGACAACAAAGCTGTAAAACATTATCCTAAACATAAACCATCAACTTAGTGAATACCATTAGTGTTTAATATGAGGCTTTCAGCATGTCCCCTGTAGCTCAGTTGGTAGAGCATGGCGCTTGCAACGCCAGGGTTGTGGGTTCGTTTCCCACGGGGGGCCAGTATGGAAATGTATGCACTCACTAACTGTAAGTCGCTCTGGATAAGAGCGTCTGCTAAATGACTAAAATGTCAAATGTAAATATGTATTTGTTGTCAATGTTTTGGCGTCAAACTGGTGGCAGTTGTGAAAAAAAAAGCCCTTTTGTGCAGTCACCCCCTAACGGCCTCATGGGCAGTCACCCCCTAACGGCCTCATGGGCAGTCACCCCCTAACGGCCTCATGGGCAGTCACCCCCTAACGGACTCATGGGCAGTCACCCCCTAACGGACTCATGGGCAGTCACCCCCTAACGGACTCATGGGTGGAATGTTATTAATATTTTTCATAATTCCATAATTAATCAACTTTTTTGTGTCCCACAATTATTGGCACCCCTAACAATTCCGCTGAAAATTTTAATATATATATTTTTTAATATATTTTTCTGTAGTTGCTAAAGTTGGTCAGGGTATCTAGGAACTTTTAATTAGTAATTCATGACTTCCTGTTTCCCTGGGGTATAAATATGACGTGACACAGAGGCCTAATTCTCTTACCCATTTGTCAACATGGCAAAGACAAGAGAACACACCATTCAAGTAAGGCAGATTTGTGTCGACCTTCATAAGTCAGGCAATGGCTACAAGAAAATAGCCACTCGCCTTAACTTGCCCGTATCTACAGTCAGAGGAATCATTAAGAAGTTTAAAACAACTGGAACAGTGACAAACAAGGCTGGAAGAGGTCCCAAGTTTATCTTGCCACAACGCACAGTGAGGAGGATGGTAAGAGAAGTAAAAAAAAGTCCTAAGCTCACTGTCACAGAATTGCATCAAAGAGTGGCATCTTGGGGTCACAAAGTCTCCAAAACAACCATCAGACGCTCTCTACATGCCAACAAGCTGTTTGGGAGGCATGCAAGGAAAAAGCCTTTTCTCATTAACACTCACAAACGTTGTCACGGTTTCGGCCGAGGCTGCTCCTCTTCCTTGTTCGGGCAGGCTTCGGCGGTCGTCGTCTCCGGAGTACTAGCTGCCACCGTTCTATGTTTCATGTTCTTTTGGTTTTGTCTGTTCATAACACCTGTCCCTTATTTGTGTCTTAATTGTTCCCTTATTTAGTTCGTGTGTTTGGGTCAGGTGTTATGCGTGATTGTTTGTTGTCAGACTGCCTCTGTATAGTCTATTTTCTCTCGTTGTTGGCGTGTCCCGAGAGTTCGCACTGCGTGCGCTTTTCATGTGTATTTTCGCACTGTGTTGTGCGTAATTGTTTTGCGCCACCCGGTTGGGTAGGCGACTATTTTGTTCACGTGTTGAACAGTAACATAAAAGACGGTTGAAGTCATCCTGGTTCCTGCGCTTGATTCCTTTCCACTCATCTACACACCCCATTCTGACAGAATCACGCATCACCACCATGGAATCAGCAGGAGCGACCGCGCCGACAGCCGAGATGGCTGAACGTCTTCGTGGTCAGGAGGACCGCATCAACCAGGTCTGTCATGCCCTGGAGGGGGTGATGAATACTCTGCACCGATGGGAGACCAGCGGGGTTCCCACACCTCCACGAACCGAACCAGCCCCATCGGTCAGCCCCCCCGTCTCATCTCCGGAACCTAGTGGGATTCGGCTCTCGCTCCCGAGGGCGTACGACGGCTCCACTGCCGGGTGTCAAGGATTCCTGCTGCAGGTGGAGCTCTACCTCGCCACCGTACACCCGGCGCCCTCGGGACACGAGAGCGTCTCAGCCCTCATCTCCTGTCTCACCGGCAAGGCGTTGGAGTGGGCCAACGCCGAGTGGAGGAGAATGGACGCCGCTACCACGAACTATGCGGAGTTCTCCCGCCGCTTCCGTGCTGTGTTCGACCATCCACCGGAAGGGAAGGCGGCGGGGGAACGTCTATTCTACCTCCGACAGGGGATGAGGAGCGCCCAGGACTTTGCCTTAGAGTTTCGGACCCTAGCGGCTGATGCAGGGTGGAATGAGCGGGCCCATATCGACCATTTCCGCTGCAGCCTCCGGGAGGACGTCCAGCGAGAGTTGGCGTGCAGGGACACGTCGTTGACGTTCGACCAGCTGGTCGACATGGCCATCCGGCTGGATACCCTGCTCGCCACCCGTGGGCGTCCCGGAGGGGGGGGTTCGCCCATTCCACTCTCCAGCACCTCCGAGCCGAGCCCTATGGAGCTCGGAGGTGCTGGCGCTAGGGAACGGAGGAGGAGGAGCCCGAGGGGACCCGGCCCTTGCACCAACTGTGGTCGTGGAGGGCACACCGCGGCTAGGTGTTGGGGCGGGTCCTCCAGTGAGGGAGATGGCAGGTCACGCATTGGGGGGTCCCCCCAGGTGAGTAGGCGCCCTGCTTACCCAGAGCTTTCTGTCGTGCACCTAACCTTGCCTGTTTGTTTCCCACAGGTTGCACCTCGTTCCCAGCATAAGGCGCTGGTAGATTCAGGCGCAGCTGGGAATTTTGTAGATCGCCAGTTCTGTATAGAGTTAGGGATTCCCCTCCTTCCAGTGGATAAGCCTTTCCCCGTCCATGCCCTAGATAGCCGTCCGTTAGGGTCTGGGTTGATTAGGGAAGTCACAGCACCCATTCAGATGACGGCGCAGGAGGGTCATGAGGAGAGAATTCAGCTCTATCTGATTGACTCTCCTGCGTATCCGGTAGTGCTGGGTCTTCCCTGGTTGATGACTCATGACCCTATTATTAGGTGGCGAGAGAAAGCTCTTAAAGGGTGGTCTGCTCAATGTGAGGGGCGGTGTCTGGGTGTTTCCATAGGGGCGACCTCGGTGGAGAGTCCGAATCTAATGCCAGCACTGCAGATTCCCCCCGAGTATGAGGATTTGGCACTGGCGTTCAGTAAGACTAGGGCGGCGCAGCTGCCGCCTCATAGACGGGGGGATTGTGCGATAGATCTCCAGTCAGGAGCAGCTCTCCCGCGGAGCCATGTGTATCCCTTGTCTCAAGAGGAGAGAAAGGCTATGGAGACATACATCTCTGAGTCTCTTAGACAGGGATACATACGGGCCTCCGTTTCACCCGCTTCCTCAAGTTTCTTTTTTGTGAAGAAAAAGGATGGAGGTCTGCGCCCGTGTATTGATTACCGCGGTCTCAATCAGATCACAGTGAAGTACAGCTATCCACTTCCTCTGATTGCGACTATGACGGAGTCACTGCACGGTGCGCAGTTCTTTACAAAATTGGATCTTAGGAGCGCATATAACTTGGTACGCATTCGAGAGGGCGATGAATGGAAGACAGCGTTTAGCACGACTTCCGGACACTACGAGTATCTAGTCATGCCATATGGGTTGATGAATGCTCCCTCAGTCTTCCAATCCTTCGTCGATGAGATTTTCCGGGACATGCAGGGACAGGGAGTAGTTGTGTACATCGACGACATTCTGGTGTATAGTCCTACCCGTGCTGAGCATGTAGCCCTGGTGCGCCGAGTATTGAGGAGGCTGTTGGAGCATGACCTATATGTCAAGGCAGAGAAATGTCTGTTTTTCCAGAAGTCGGTCTCCTTTCTGGGTTACCAGTTATCTGCGTCAGGGGTGAAGATGGAGGTAGACCGGGTGTCAGCTGTGCGTAATTGGCAGACCCCAACCACTGTGAAGGAGGTGCAACGGTTCTTGGGTTTTGCGAATTATTACCGGAGGTTTATCCGGGGTTTTGGACAGGTGGCAGCTCCCATAACGTCTCTGTTAAAGGGGGGTCCGGTGCGCTTGCGGTGGTCAGCTGAGGCGGACAGGGCATTTGGGAGACTAAAGGACCTGTTTACCTCGGCGCCGGTGTTGGCGCATCCGGATCCCTCTTTACCGTTCCAAGTAGAGGTGGACGCGTCAGAGGCCGGGATAGGGGCCGTTCTTTCCCAGCGTTCTGGCACTCCACCTAAACTCCGTCCCTGTGCGTTCTACTCAAAGAAGCTCAGTCCGGCGGAGCGGAATTATGACGTAGGAGACAGGGAGCTGTTAGCCGTGGTACAGGCCCTAAAGGTGTGGCGGCATTGGCTCGAGGGGGCTCAACACCCTTTCCTCATTCTAACTGACCATCGTAACCTGGAGTAC